CAAGAGAAGTTGCTAGTTCCAGGACATAGCATGGGGGTGGGGAGGCAGGTAGAAACATAGATACAATTTATTCCTCAGTGAGCCTTAAAAAACAGACACCATTGATTTCTTTACCAGGAGAAGCTGCCAAAGCCACCCATTTGCACAGCACCTCGCAGTTTTCCCACTCCAGAAAGGAGAGGAAGGCATCCACCCAGATCACAGACTACAGGCTTGGAATGGGAAGATCCCGCCACCCTCCCCAAGCACACACACACAGCCCCTTACCCCCAGAGGCCACCTGAAGCAGCCGTATCAAGGTACGGACTCCCTCACTATGCAGCTTCTTATGGGAAACAGTGAGCCCAAGAGTTTCCGTTTTGTTTTTACAAAGAATGCAATGCATTCTTTATAATGATTATTTATAGTGATTATGCATTAAATCATAGTTATTATTTAACACATAATGAATGAGAGGTATTATATGGTGAGTACAGCCTTCCCAGGAGACAAAAGGCTTGAGTCTTCAGAATTTCTCTTACGACTCCTCTAAACTGCAAGCCCTCAGAGGTCAGTGTCCCAAATCTTAATCATTTCTGTCCTCCCACACTCAGATACTACTAGCCTCTGTAATGATTTAGTGAATTAACTCCTTTCTGTTGCTGGTACTTCATGGAAGTGCCCAAGTGAAGATAAAAGATAAAGCCCTTGTGGACATTTCTCTGTGGACCTGTGGGAGGAAACACTTGGGATGTCTGCATCTGAAATGAGACCATTGTGGCGTGACTGGCCAAACTCTGTGAGCAAAAGGGTTGGGAGTGTCCATAATCCTTCCAGGGATTAAGAGTTAGCCCCTGAAAAGAGCCCAGTGTACATGGCAGGTCCAGAATGGAGGCCAGCAGCTATCTGTCCAATGGAGAAGCTTTGCTCAAAGAGGGAAACCATTGTTTCTCTTCATCATTATGTCCCCAGCACCATACGAAACGCTCACTCTCCAAATGCTTGCTATAACAAGTTGGCAACATTTTTACTAAAAATTCACTATGTGAATCAAAAGTCACTCCATTAGAGAATTGCTGTTGCTTCAACAACAACGTTGAGGTTTCGGTAATTCTCGACAGAGGCTGTGCCATGGACCCATCTCCGCTCTCCTAGCGGTAGAAGCACCTCTCTGCCTATATCATTCATACATATTGTGAACCTATCTTGTAAAAAAGTTGAGAAGCCTGTAAATTAAGTAGTTAGCCTAAGAGGCCTAAAATCCCATAACTTAGAAGAAGAAAAGTTGGGAAGTGATAGAGTATATTGCAAGAGGTGAACATATGAGAAGCACAAATGTAGCCGTGCACATATCCCAACTAACGTGTGTAATGTATTTCTGTGCCTTCCATGCATTAATTTTGGATCTTTAACAAATAATTCCATTATTTATTTATATTTTATTATATTAAGGGACTGCCTATAAACTTCTTGAGGGAAGGTATGATGTAAAATGGGGATCATATGAATGTAGGTCTAGGTGTAAAGCTATTTGTGATGTTTAGCAAAAGGATGAAATCAAAGCAAGTATCTGCTTGAATTTTATCAAACAGCCCAAATTTTTATAATGAGCACAGTTAACTGGAACCCTTCAGTAAGTATATTTTTCTAAACTCTAAAATTATGAGGAAGAAACAAGTCCCCTGACAATAAATTCAAAGTAGGAATATAACTAAAATGAATGAGCCCCAAAGCCATCTCAAAGTGCTGGAATATGGCACCACCTTAGTTCATGCTCATAAACTACAATATGAAGGATCTTACGTCATGGAGGATCCTGATTAAGAAAATGGCAAGAAGAACTGGAGATGGATGGTAGTTGTAGAAGAGTGAGAATGTACTTAATGCCACAGAACTGTACCCTTCAGAAATGGCTAAAATGGTAAATTTTATGTTTGTATATTTTACCACAATAAAAAAAGAATATGGTGAGTCATTGACTTTCTTGGTTTTGTATGTATTATTATAGGTGTTTAGTTGAGACTCTTTGGGAGTAAGACTCTGTGATTGCAAACAAGGAACATTATAAAGATGCAGGGATATATCTCAGAACCCAAGGGCAGGAATGCTGAGAGATCTCAGGGAGGAGTAGAATCAGGAACTGGAGAGCTACTGGGACCCTTCTTTGTCTCTGCATTTCTCTGTGATTCTGTTTCATCCTCATTGTCACTACAGCTTGGTTTCTCTGTCTCTTGAGTCTCACAAAATGGAATATGCTCATTGCCTTCCTCTCTCCGTGGCTCCCAAGTTCACTCACCAAACTATACTCCCATGTTGAGAAACTTGCAGTCTCTCACTCCCAGCTCCATATTTGGAAGAAAGGGAAGCTGCTTGGCCCACCCTGGGTCAGGTGACGTCCCTGGTCCATTCAATCCTAAATTAAGGGGTGATACAAACATGGCCAATTTCTCTGGAGAACCTGGACTGATACACTATGTTATACATGTTTTTTCCATTTTGCTCCTTTCCTTCACAGTTAAATACAAAAGTCAACTACCATAAACAAAACAAATATCCAAATCGAGGTTAACTATTCCTGGCATTCAGCATGCCTAATGATTTCCATCGTTGCCTTAACTGAATCAAGTCTAAGCTCTTTATTTTTGATCACCAGGATGAGCATTCTCATTTTCCACTTTACATTTGTTTTATAAAAGAACCACTGCAAATATAATAAAATATTTAAATAATTATCCCCAAACTGTCACACTGACAAAAGTGATAAAGCTACAGAACAGAGCAGTTGGCTAGCAAGCAAATCTACTGTGTGATGCTGGAAATGTGCATTTTTCTCAGCTGATGCATGAGAGTCTGAATTTGGTGTATAACCCTCCATTTAGGAGTGTGCATTAGAATGTAAAAAGGAAATTTAGGTTGTCTTAAAGCCCAACCATTGAAGTTGAGACCAACCTAGGCTATGTAGCAGTGAGGAATAAGCACAGAGCTCACTCTCCAGTCAAACTTGGCAAGTGCCCACAAGTGAGGCAAGGACATCAAAGAGTCCGGAGCAAGGGCAGGTTGTGTACGCTTTCAGGAGGAGGGGTACGAGGGATGGCATTTGGTCTGGGCCTAAGGATGGGGAACATTCTAACACATAGATAAAGATTATTAGGGTTTGGGGCGCCTGGGGGGCTCAGTCGTGTGGCGTCTGCCTTCGGCTCAGGTCATGATCCCAGGGTCCTGGGATCGAGCCCTGCATCGGGCTCCCTGCTCAGTGGGAAGCCTGCTTCTCCCTCTCCCACTCCCCCTGCTTGTGTTCCTGCTCTCGCTATGTCTCTCTCTGTTAAATAAATAAAATCTTTAAAAAAAAAAAGATTATTAGGGTTTTAGGAAGTCAAAAAAAAATGCTTTTTTTCCCCCCTCCCTCCTGAGTTTTGAACTATTTGAGATGCGGACACAGGAGTCTGGCTGGTGGAAATGAAAATATCACTCTTATTGTCTGTAGAGCTGTTAAGATAACATGACTAAAGTCTGTGGCCAGTGGGTTTAGGAAGGCTTAATCTCTGAATTAGACACACTCCCCAGTCTGGGGCCCAGCTGGGGGAATGCTTTATTCTGCACAGCAGAGATGTCAGAACACAGGTCTACCGCAAAAGAGGAAGGGGCTGGGGCCAGCGTGCCCAGATCTTAGAGCCACCTACCAGATACTACTTCTGAGATGAAGATTAAGGGAGGGGTGTGGGAAGAGAGTTAACAGTTATCTATGAGAGGGAGCTTGTGCTAGCTAAGACATAAACATGTGTTGTTTTTTTTACAATAAGCATGTATTATTTTCATAACATGATCATTTCTATCTTAAAAATGAAGTCAGTCAGAATTGAGTGTAAGAGAGGAGGATCAATTTCACTCAGGACAGGGACTAGTGTCAGTAGAAAGAGTAAAAGAAGACTTGTGACTTTAACTGGGAGAATGTCAAAACCATGAAGCAGAGACTAAAAAAGATTCAGATTATCAAGCACACATTACTGTTTTTAAAAGAGTTACCCAGGAAGTGAGCAATGTGTTACTATTTATCCATTTGGAATTTGGAAATGAAAATCTGTAGTCCTAAGGAGGATAAAATAGGTTTGGTGCTGAGAAATTGAAATCAATTTTTAAATTTTAAACTAAGTTAAAATTTTAATCTAAGAGAGGATATACTTTAAAGAAATCTTGAGGTAAGTTTTCAGTTTTCTTAATGTAAACTGTATGTGTCATATGGAATAAGTTATTTCTATGACTTAGGCCAGAATTTTCCTGAACTGTGCTCTGAAGAAATTTAATGATGTTCCATGAAAATAATTTATATTGATGCTATTTTTCTACCAAAATTTATTCTAGAAAAACATATATATAAAAAATCAACTAAACAACTATCATTATTTAATGATCTGCCTTTAGCACACTCCGCTGGAGCGATCCCTGGAGGACATTTGCTCTTTGCTTTGAGGGAGGGGCAGCATTTTCCCACTGACACGTAAGCTCATACCCACATGCCCAGAAACTGCCTCCACAACATGCACTCTAAATGCCTTCCTTACCAGTAGAACCTTCGTGTTGTTCAGGGTGCCTCAGGCTATAAGACTCGATTTTTCTGAGCTCCTTCACAGTTAGTAGCAGCCACGTAAAAGAGTGTGGCGGATGCAGTGAGATGTAAGAATGTGTCTACTAAATGGGCTTCTGGAAAGATGTTTTCCTGATGAAAGGGAAAGACTCAGCTGCTTTGCAACTTTTGCCTTTTGTCCTTGCCCTTTCTCCTGCCTGAGATCCAGACTTCACATCTGGAGCTGCAGCAGCCACCTTGTGACCATGAGGACAAAAGTCACATGCTAAGGATAGTGACCTAAGGAATGAGACAAAGTTTCGGTCTTTCATGACATCATAGAGTCCCTGTACCAGTTCTGGTCTGCTCACCTCCAGATTTCTTGGTATGGGGGAAAAAATGATTTAGTTAAACCATTGTCAGATTCTTGTTAAATGCAGGCAAACATAATCCTACTGTATGCCCATGTACATCATTTATTGATTGATTACCATAAATGTCACATCCCTGGTCACATAATTTCAGCATATATTCATGTTACTAAGCACTGCTTATTCAATAGCAAACAATTATACAGTACTAACATGTTTAACTCTAATCTATGGCCAAAATAAGAGAGCTTTAAATGCAAAGAAGGGCCTTGGGGTTCTAAATGGTATCTGAACCTAACACAAATTGAGAATACTTTAAAGTGAAGATAAACAAACTGAGCTTGAACTAAAAGAAAAAAAAAATTTAGGTGTGTGTTGCCTGAGCTGAAACAAGGAATATGATCTGGAGTAGCCTAATTTCAGAGGACACAAATATCACCCAACATATAGCTGACATCCTTTCTGCCTTTGCTCCAAAGTATCTGGCCAAGGTGGGGCTTTCCACAGCATGCTGCACTGAAACCAGAGGCTGGGGGTTGCACCTGGTAGACTCTCCGCCACAGCAAGGCTGTTCCCAATAGAAAGATAGGTGATTTTTTAAAAGACATACAATACTTAAAACACAATATAAAAGACACAAAATATACAAAAAGTTAAAACACAGAAAAGACACAACATATATTAAAATCACTTTACAAGTTTTATAAGAATATGAAAAATAGAAAGCCATTTTGCTTGAAGGTTTTTCCTTAAGGAAATTCCTCTGCGAGACCCTTTCCCCCTGCTTTCTGTAGAATCTGCTGCTATTCCGACAATATATTATCCTTTTCAGTGTATTCTGTGGTCAAGGTTAAGGAAGTTTGGAAAACTCTATCCTAAACTGGTAAGATTTCTAGTTTAACATAAAAAAAATGTTTAAAAATCAATGTCCAAGGGGCACCTGTCTGGCTCAGTCAGAAGAGTGTGTGACTCTTGATCTCAGGTCATGGGTTCAAACCCCACACTGGGTATAGAGATTACTAGAAAAAATATATAAACTTAAAAACAAAAAAACATAGTCCAAGAATAAGAGTCAGTGTGGCCTAGAAAATCCAGGTTAATATTCATAAGGAGAACCTGCTAGTTGTCACTTTTATTCGGCTTCCTACTACATTTTTTTATTCATAAAAAATCAGATTATGAAACTGGGTCATGTTCATTGAGAGAAATTCCAGCAATGCCAAAGTATACAAAGCCCTTCCCTGCCAGACTGAACACTCTGCTAGGGCAGGACGCCTGTTTTATCTACTCCAATCTCTCTAATCCCTAACCCTGCACATAGTAGGGCTTCAAAGTGGCAGCACCCCCTTTCCACAGTTAACGAGCTAAGGTGTTGCTTTGCAGACCTCTCCTTGGCAGGATTTTTAAGATAAACTTTTAATTTTAGAGTGGTCTTAGATTTACAGAAAAGACTGTGACGGTAATACAGAGTTCCCATACACCCACACCCGCTTTCCCCTATTTTTACCATCTTACTTTAGAATGGTACTTTTGTTACAATTAACGAACCAATACTGACAATGTATTCAGATTTCCTTAGTTTTTACCTAATGTCATTTTCTGCTCAGGATCCCATCCAGGACGCCACACAACATTTAGTCCTTATGTCTCTTTAAGCTCCTCTTTGGCTGTGATAATTTCTCAGATTGTCATTGTTTTTGATGACCCTGGCAGTTTTGAGTACTGGTCATGTATTTTGTAGGATACCCTCTTTTAGGATTTGTCTGATCTTCTTCACATGATTAGACAGGGGTTATGGATTTCAGGAAGGAAAATCATAGAAGTAAAGTGCATTAAATGTATATATTATCGGAGCACTTGGGTGGCTCAGTCGGTTAAGTGTCTGCTTTGGTCTCAGGTCCTGATCTCAGGGTCCTGGGATCAAGCCCCACAGTGGGCTTGCTGCTCAGCTGGGGGTCTGCTTCTCCCTCTCCTCCCTGCTCATGCTCTCTCTCACTATCTCTGTCTCTCTCTCTCTCAAATAAATCAAATCTTTTTAAAAAGGTATATATTATCAATATGACTTACCACTGTTGATATTGACCTTGACTCCTGTACAAATTTAACCATTCCTCATATACCACTAAATGGAACCTTCTGTCTCTCACATCAAAATGAACGTCTGGTTTCAGTTTAGAACAGTCAGTGGTCCCAGTTAGCTTGGACTTGAGCAACCTAAACACAGAGATGATTCAAAAGAGAGATGTGTGACCTTCACACCAGCCCTGGGCATGGGAGGAGGTACAGGGTTGAGAGGAATCAGGATGACCTGCCCACTTCTACAGCATGCCAAACCCGTGGGGGAGGCTTGCCAAGGGCCAAGGTCAGCTGCCAAGCACGGCCAAGTGCCCAGTCTTCTTCCTGTTCACTGGAGATGACCTTTCATGGTAGGGCTTGGATTTTCAACCCCCTCTCTTCTGCAAGTGCCTTCCTGAGGGTGGTGACTTACACCCCCCAGCACTCTCAGAGGCAATAAGAGTCCAGGGAAGCCAGGCCAGAATACAAGGGAAAGAAAAAAGAAAAGGATTTACATTCGCCAAGTTCACCAGAAGATGTCTGCCTGCCTCTCTGTTACACTGCAAGGCTTTGCTGGATTCTTCCTTGCAATAAACAGACAAGAATTCAAATGCATTTTCCTTGGATGGAGTTAGGATTTTGAGTGTTGTTTTTCTTTTCTCTTTATTCTGATACATTAACTAGTTCAAGTAACTGCCCTAGACCACACAAAATAGTAATAAAAATATGTTGTGTAATTATTACTTTAGGCAACATTTATTAAGCATTTTACAATGTACCAGGAGCTATGCTAATTATTTTATGTATGTAGCTCATGCAATTTTCAGCAACACATTGTGGTTGTTAGCTCTATTTTCTAGATGATTATATGTGGCACAGGAAGGTTAAGTAACTTGCCCAAGATCACATAGCTAATAAATAGCCAGGAAAGACAGAAACACAGTCTGACTCCTCATTCCATATGCTATACCATTTAACAAACCAGAACTCCATACCTCCACACAGTTCAGCAATCACCATACCACTACTCCATGCTGCCACACAGCTCAACAAGTCCCCATACTGTATTGTAGTATCTATAATGCTCTCAGCAACCTGCAAGGTGCTGGGAAAAGGTGGATAAATAAAACACAGTCCTGGCCGAAAAGATCTCACTGTTGCTTCACTCTTTCCCAGAAGCGCAAGGGATCCAGAAGTCCCCACATGCTTATGAAAGCACATTCAGGGGTGCTGGGAGAGTTGGCTGTCCAAAGGAGACCTCAGGTCAGGATAAAGAACTTCAGGCTGCGGTGACTTTGAGACCAAAGGAAATGGCCATGGAATTTGACCATGATCAAAAATAACAAACAATATTCAAAACGTTGAAGAGTCAGTCAGTCCCAACCCATTAGAAAAGACATACACCCATCAAGATAGAGGATAGGCCTATCAAAACAGTGGAAGCTATGAACAGGTAGGAGGGACTGGACATTAGCCCTGAGACAACCCTCAGAGATGGAGCAGTGCATGCCCAAGAGGCCCCTTTATCACCACAGGATCACTAGGTTCCCTCCACACGCGAGGAGCACCGAAGGAGGAAGAGGGTTGCTTGGGTTTTCAGCCTCCACGTCTTTTTTCTGTCAAAAAGAACACTATGGGGCGCCTGGATGGCTCAGTCAGTTAAGCAGCTGCCTTCAGTTCTGGTCGTGGTCCCAGAGTCCCAGGATCAAGCCCAGTCATGGTCCCAGAGTTGGGCTCCCTGCTCAGTGCGGAGTCAGCTTCCCTCTCTGCCCCTCCCCCACTCATGCGGGAGCCCACGTGCGTGCACTCTCTTTCTCGCTCGCTCTCTCTCAAATAAATAAAAATAAAATCTTAAAAAAAAGAACACTGGATGTTACTTGTGTTTTCATTAATATTGTGTTAGCTTATAAACCTATAAACCTACTTTTCCTGAAGACTCTAAGCCCAACATACAGATTTTTTTATTTATAAATTCCGTAATTTTTGTGTTAAAATGAAAAACACTCACTTTCACTTTCTCTTTGATTTATTCTCAATGAGTTTATACATGTGAAAGATTAATTTTTCCCTAAACATTGAACACATTTACAAACTTGAGTCCTTAAATTCCTTTAGAGATGTCAAACCACGGTCGCAAATATAACATACCTGATTCTCTCAAGAACTTCAAACACCAAACAGCAGACTGATAAATCTAAAAAGTAAAATCTTCCTAATTACTCAAGTGGCTCATAAATTGAAGCAGATTTACAAATTTCATAAAGAAATCAGATTAACTTTGATCACTTTAAAGCATCAAAACAAACAAACCATACATGAGCCGCACAACAATTTAAAAACTTGGTGTTGTACTATTTAAGCACAATTTACACTAAGGTATCAATGTTGTTGATTCATTGCTTCATCCTATAGTAGCAAATTACTCCTGTAACCAAGGAAAATTGCCATGTAAGGCTTGTTATATTGACTGAAGTCAATGCTATCTGGGTATTGGTGGTCCTCAGGGCTCAGCCCTTGGACTTCTCATTTTCTCTATCCGTGATCACTCCTGGCTGTCTCATCCAGTCCTCTGGCTTTAAATGCCAAGTTTGTGCCAATGACTCCCTATTGCATACCTTCAGCTCTAGTTGGCATTAATGCTGCTCACCCATACTTCCGGGTCTTCTTTTTCCAGGAACACAAGAGAACTGTACTTCCTCACCCCTTTCAGGTGAACTGTGGCTACAGGACTTACGCTGGCCAAGGAAATGTGAGTGGGAGGTATGGACCACTTCAAGGTGGAAGCATTTCATTGCTGGTGTGAGGCTCCAGCTCTTTTTTCCCTCTGGCCACAACAACAGTCCCAGTAGTGAAGCCTCTATTAGTCTGGATTCCAGGGTGAAAAGGACATGGAGCAGAGCCCTTCAGTGCAAGAAATCCACTTTTGTTGTGTTAATCTAGTGAGAGTTTGCAATTGTTTATTACAGCAGCCTAGCCTTGCCCATCCTGACTAGTATTTATCAGTCCACCCCTCTCTCTTGAACTTTAGATACTGACTCAGCAGCTCCACTGGATATTTAGATAGATATTTCAAACCTAACAGGTCCACAACTGATTTTCTTATCTTCCTCCCTAAAAATCCTGCTGCCTTCAACCTTCTCCAGCTCAGGTGGATGTCAGTCCCATTTTTCTAATTGCTTAGGCCAGAAACTCGGAGTCATCCCTGTCTCTTCCCTTTCGCTCACATCCTGTGTCTAATCTATTAGCAAATGCCTTTGGTGCTACCTTCAAAAATACATTCCGATTTGAACCATTTCTCACCACCTCCTGTACCACTGCCCTGAACTAAGCCACCATCACCTCACGCTCAGGTAATTACAACAGCCTCCCAGCAAGCCTCGCTGCTCCTATTCTTGGTCCTCTGACGGTCTTATTCTTAACACAGCAGGTCATTTTAAACCAGCTGAATCATGCCCCCAGAGCTCTGCAGCAGCTCTCCATCTCCCAATAAAAGCCAAAGTCACGGTCGTGCCCCACGAGGCCCTGCCCGGGCAGCTCTCTCAACACCTCTCTGACCACAGCTCCTGTCACTTTCCATTATTCATTTTACTCCAGCCACACTGGCCTCCTTGCTGTTCCTTGAACACCCCAGGTGCATTCCCAAGTTAGGGAATGCTGTGGCCATTCTCCATGCCTGGAATGTTCTCTCCAGATACCCACTTGGTTAACTTCCTCATCTCCTCCGGTTTTTGCTCAGATCTCATGTTCACAATGAGGGCTTCCAGCTTCATACTGCAAATTGCCCACTTCTGGATCCTTTTCACCCTGTTCCACAGCGTTCACGTGCTCTAACCTACTGTGAGTCTACTGCTTTATTAGGCTTATTGCATACTGACCTCTGTTAGCTACAATGTAAGCTTCAGGAGGACAGATGTTTTTGTGTTGTTTTTTTCTTCACTGTTGCATCCCAGATGCCTAGAATAGTGCTTAGAATAATAGCCACCCAATAAATATTTGCTGAAATAATTGGTTGAATTACCAAATACCTGAATTAACGATTTGGGACTGAAGCACAGGATCAAAGTTCTCTTTCCAGGGTGATCTTGTCCCAAGCAAGTATTTTTGGGGGCTAAGCTGAATTCTACTTCCTGGATTTTCCTGATGGTGCTTAGCTGCTAACTAAATCTGATGCTACTGTGTATATGGTTTGCATTAGCATAAAGAGCATTTTCTACAAATACTATTTGAGACTCAGAATTGCCTTTTCCTTGAATGTACTATATTTTAGTTCTTTTTTTTTTTAAAGATTTTATTTATTTACTTGATATATAGAGAGAGACAGCAAAAGAGGGAACACAAGCAGGAGGAATGGGAGAGGGAGAAGAAGGCCCCCCCCCCCAGCCAAGCAGGGGGCCCAAAGCAGGGCTCAAAGCAGGGATCATGACCTGAGCTGAAGGAAGCCGCTTAACCAACGGAGCCACCCAGACACCCCTTAGTTGTTTCTTTTTGAGTATCATTATGTACTCTTGTTTTGCACAGAATTTTTTTTTCTTTTCAATGCTCAAGTTGTTATAGTCTGGCCAATAGGAATTCCTGAAATCTCTGCAAGCATTTTTGCTTTTTCGCAACAATGAGATTTTCCAACCCATTTCTACTTTCTGCTCCAAACAGAGAGTCATAAAGTCAGCCACTCTCCAAGGAGCCCTGATTCCTTTTAGTAGAAAATAATATTAGAGGGGCGTCTGGGTGGCTCAGTTGGTTAAGCATCCCACTCCCGGTTTCAGCTCAGGTCATGATCTCAGGGTAGTGAGATCGAGCCCCATGTCAGGCCCTGCCCTGAATGTGGAGCCTGGTTGGGATTCTCTCTCCCTCTCCCTCTGCCCCTCCCCACTCTCACTCATTCTCTCTCTCTCTCAAAACAAACAAACAAACAACTTTGAAAATAGTATTAGAGTATTTGAAAATCTTGCTGCTCTAGGGATCCCTAGCAGACTGTTCCCTAGGAACACAGGTGGAACACAGCATCACTATCAGATCACTTCACTGACAGATGTGGTACATCTTTCAAAGATTTCATCAGTCAGGATCCAGGCAGGAAAACAGCAATCACAGTAGCAATTCCCACTGGATGAAAGATAATACAGGCAGTTGATTACAAAGGTGTTAGATAACGGCGGGGGAGGGGAGGAGTGAAAGCAAAAAGGGATGCTGAGGTAAACCAGAGATTAATAACCTAGCAGCTACTGCTGGGCTGGGGAGCAAATGGGAAGAGGTGGTATTTCTAGAAACCAAGCCTTCCGAGGAGGGCTCAGCAGGGCTGAGGCCCAGAGCTCTCTCTGCAGGTGCATGCTCCATCCTCCCTGAGGGGGTGCAGCTCCGAGGGAGCTCCGGTTGCTGAGCACCTGTGAGGGGCTGTGCAAGACTGGGAACAGCGGCGGGGACCATGGAGAGAAGCTAGAAGCTGGAGCTAGAGCTGTCTGCTGCTGCCAGTCATCTCCCAATGGGAGGGAGGAGCAGGAGAACCCCCCTTTCTTCTGCCCTCCCATTTCCCACCACTGCCTCCCAGAACCATAGGGAGCAGTCTGGCAAGGGAATGTGGGAAATGTGGAAAATGTGGCTCAGCCCCAACACCCCCAGCAGCGGAGAAGGGTGGGCCTGATGTGGGCAACAATACCTGGACAAACAGCACAAAGATCATGAGGTCACCGGGACTTTCCAGTTAAACTCCAACTTCTTTCAGTAATTTTTTAAAAAATCTTGTTCTGAGGGGGAGGGGGGACTGGTTAGCCTGGTGATGGGTATTAAGGAGGGCACGTACTGCATGGAGCACTGGGTGTTATACAAAAACAATGGATCGTGGATCACCACATCAAAAACCAATGATGTATTGTATGGTGACTAACATAACATAATAAAATTAAAAAAAAAATCTTGTTCTGGTAGAAAATATTTCCTGAGTTACCAGTTCTCCATGTGTCATATTTCTTATCAATTTTGATATGCCATCGAATATATATGTATACACATTTACATGAAACTATGTATTTAAATATCAGTATAACATTAATGGACACTATCACAGGCTAGTATCCATTTATAGTTTACTCCGGGTCTGACCTCGGGACTGAAATTATACTCCCTTTCTTTCTTTCTTTTTTTATTGTGGTAAAATATACATAATATAAAATTTACCATCTTTAAGTTTAGTAGTGTTAAGTATATTCATACGGTTGTGCAACTGATCTCCAGAACTCTTTTCATGATGCAAAACTGAATCTCTGTACCCGTGGAACAATAACTCACAATCTCCCTCTCCCCAGCCAATGGCAGCCGCCATTCTACCTCCTGTCTCTATGAATATGCCTACTCTAGGTAACTGGTTTTAGCAGAATCATACAATATTTGTCCTTTTGTGACTGGCTTATTTCACTTAGCATAATATCTTCAAGGTTCATCTATGTTGTAGCCTATGTCAGAATTTCCTTCTCTCTCTCTCTCTTTTTTTTTTAAAGATTTTATTTTTAAGTAATCTCTGTACCCAAAGTGGGGTTTGAACTCACACCCCAAAGATCAAGAGTCACATGTTCTTCCGACTGAGCCAGCCAGGCACCCCTTAAGGCTTTTTAAATATTCTGTTATGTATATGCATATATACACCACATTTTATTTATCCATTTATCTGTCAATAGATACTTGGGTTGCTTCTACCTTTTTGGCTATTGTGAATAATGCTGCTATGAACATGGGTATATTTCCCTTCTCTTTGATAATTATTATATAGCTTTTTGATCCTCATTCTACAGGAGTGGGTCTTAACCATGTCAGACCTAGCACTTTCTTTCAGCCAAAAATGAAGTTTGAAAATAGGGGTACCTTGGTGGCTCAGTTGGCTAAGCATCTGACTCTTGATTTCAGCTCAGGTCATGATCTCAGGGTCGTGAGATCGAGGCCCATGTGGGGCTCTGCACTGGGCGTGGAACCTGCTTAAGATTCTCTCTCTCCTTCTCCCTCTGCCCCTCCCCCCTTTCTCTCTCTCATTCTAAAAATAAAAAAATAAATAAAGTTCACCTACCACATAGCTTCAGGAAAATCATTATAATGAAATAATATATATTTTATTGTGAGTAAATACCTGGGAATGATCACACAGGGAATATAATGAAATAATCAAACGTTTGCACGTTGCACATGGTGGTCACAGCCATAAACGTAGCTTGTCTCAGGAGCATTGTATTGGTGACTCAAATACCACAAGTAATGTTGCTTGGTGGCATGATTTCCTAATATGGGTCACCAATACTTAGTCACGTTTGAAACAGAGCCATCTTTCTTCATAATCCACAGTAATTGTAATCACAGAAACACAGTGCATATTTGTAGTGAGCAAAAAATATTTGATGTTTCTGTCTAAAACAGTATTGGGTTCTTGGCTGAGATCATTTTCAACAGCTTCTTCCCCTTGTGGATATCATATAGGACACCGAAACTTTGTGAAGGACACAGGATGATTGGTTGTGCAGGACAGTCCAGGGATTTACAGGATATCAAACATCTTTGGCCCATGCCCGCTAATTGCCAGTAGCACCCCCTCAATCACGATGACAGCCAGGAAATGCCCCCTTCACTTCCAGAACTCCCCCTAGGAGGCAGTACCACCCACATTAGGAACTGCTCTTCTGCATGCCTCTATCCGTTAAGTCTTCCCACAATAATGCTGTGTGATTTTGGCAGCCACGAGAAAAAAACCTCACAGACTTATTAGTCTAACTGGCCAATTAGTGTGCTCTGAAACCCACTGCCCATTTTGTGCCAAGGCCATGCTTCCCCCAGGTTTCTCCCAGCCAATGGCTGAGTGTTGTGGGCATACTAAGGTAGGCCTGTTCCTAGGAGGCTCGAGACTCCTCTGACAGCTGAGGTTGAACTTTCCTTAGACTGCATGGCAGACATGTCTACCCAACTTTCCTTCCCTCCTTCCTTCATTTGGGTCAGACTCACATTGCCTTTTGACAGGTGTCCTGGCGCTCAGTTCACTCCTCCCTTTTTTCTCTTGCATTGATATTCCCTGCATAAAATCCTTGTACGTTTTATTCCATCTCGGCATCTGCTTCGTGGTGGATTTGGACTAACACTGTAACAAAGAACCACAAAACCTCCATGGCATACAACAATGGTATTTACTGCTCACATTTCTCAGAGTGGTGGGGGGCGGGCAACTAGACAGCTCTGCTGATTGGCTGGGTCTGCTTCCATATTTGGGGTAGTCGGGCTGGTAGTTGATCCAGGATGACCTCTGCTATGATGACCGAGGACTCAGCTGTGCTCCACGTGTCTCTCTCCCCCTGCAGGCATGTTCTGATGGCAATGACACAAGAGAAAAGCCTAACGTGTAAGCGTATTTCTTTTTTTTTTTTTTTTAAGATTTTATTTATTTATATGAGAGAGAGAGAGCATGAGACGGGGGAGGGTCAGAGGGAGAAGCAGACTCCCTGCCGAGCAGGGAGCCCAATGCAGGACTTGATCCTGGGACTCCAGGATCATGACCTGAGCCGAAGGCAGTCACTTAACCAACTGAGCCACCCAGGCGCCCCGTGTAAGCGTATTTCAAACCTCTGCTTGCCTTGGGTCAGCTATACCCACTGGCTGAAGAAAATCATATGGGTGAGTGCAGATTGAGTTGGAGGACCCTGAAAAGTAACATAACAAAAAGTCAGGATACAGGGAAAGGTGAAGAATGGGGCTATTTTCAGAATCTACTACAATGTCTGTGCATTTTCCCTAGTGGTGAAGCACCACTCTTTCCCAGTTTATAGAAAATTGTAACCTCTCTTAAAATTTTCTATAACCACATCAATGTAGAGTAACTTGATAGAGAAGAAGTCTGAAATGCTGAGTATTTACCAGGATACTCTGAGTTATCCACATGAAGCTATTTAAACTGGAGAAAAACTTCCATGACATTCATTGCCAAGTTAAGGCCCATTTTCTCCCCGCCCCCCACCCCCCACCTCGATGACCCAGTGCTGTGACTGCCCAGGACAAAGATTAGATCAACTACAGATAGCAAGTAATCTACATTTTCTTTGTGCATTATAGTGATTGGTTGAATTTTCAAACCCCTTCCACACAAAAATAGAGAAGTTCGGGCATGATTATTTTTAAAATAAATTTGAATGAATTCGAAGTTATCCATATGATAACATCACTTACTTGCAGGCAACATTCTTTCTTAAGTAGGAGGAAAATCTGTTGTGGTTCAGGTCAGTAGCCAGGAATCACATCTAAGCCTAGGTTCACCATAGCTGTGGGCACTGAGTATAGACATCATTTGTCACGTGTGTCCTAGAAGAAAATGAGTGGAGAACCTCAATTGTAGGCCACAGTGACCTCTCTCTCACTGCTTCAAACTTCTATAACCCATTCCTTCTGGTAATGTTTCTCAAATCTCTTGTGCAACAAAATCAAGAATGGAGCCTTCCAACCCCACGCACCCCCCCCCATTTATTCTCTCTTGTAAAAATAATTAATGTTTTATAATTCTGAAAATTTTTCAGCCTGAATAAAATCTCAAGAACAAAACAGTTAACACCCATATACTCCTCACCTACGTTTGCCAGCCGTAGCATCTTGCCTCCCCCACTGCATTGGTCTCTGTATAAGTACACACATTTCCCCTTTGCCAAGCCATCCAAGAATGCTTTGCAGACACCTTGACACTGTCCCTAAATACCTCTCAGCACTCTCCCAAGAATGGGGCCACTGTCCTATTATCCAGAACACTGTTGCTACATCTAAGAAACTCCACATTAGGTTTAACATACATGAAATTTCCCCAATGGTCTCAAAATTATACTTTGCTTTTCTTTTAATTCAGATTCCATTGGATTTGGTTGTTATATCTGATTAATCTGTTAGCTGGAAGAATAAAAAACATATTGATGACTGGCTCCTACCCCAGAGCTACAAAAATAAAATTTCCAGGGTTGGAGCCCTGGAATCTATTCTTTCTAAACTCTTTCTAGATGACTCTGATGAGAGTCAAGTTTGGGGACCACTGAGTTCTACTTGTAAGGTTAATTATCTTTTCAGAAGTCCACCACTGTTTCCCAAACAGACCTCAGAGAATTCTAGGGCCAGGCTTAAATTAAATTAAACTAAATTCTTGGGAGAACCATAACCCATTCTAATTGATGTCCATTTCTTTTCTACCCTATCTAACCACCCTCTCCTCTAATTCCCCTTGCTTCTCAGAATTGTACAGGTGGTATGGCTTATGATTTTTTTACTTTACCATGGTGTGAAATTGATGTGCATTCAGTAGAAACAGTACTTTGAATTTTAAATTTGGATATTTTTCCCAGGCTAGTGATATGCAGTAAGATCCTCTCTCACGATGCTGGGCAGTGGCAGCCCCGGCTCCCAGTCAGCCACACAATCAACAGGGTCAACAACTGATACACTTACAACCAGTCTACACCCATAGAATCATTCCATTTTTTTTTTTCACCTTCAGTACAGTACTCAATAAATGTCATGGATAATCAACACTTTATTATAAAATAGGCTTTGTGGTAGGGGATTTTGCCCAGCTATAGGTTAATGCAAATGTTCTGAGTACGCTCAAGGCAGGCTAAGCTGAGCTATGTTGGGCCATAGTTTAGGTATATTAAATGTATTTTCAACTTACAATATTTTCAATTTTGGGATGTTAACCCTTTAAGTGGAGGAAGATCCCTCCTCAGGAAGAAGGATTTGGTTGATAGGCTTTGAAGGCCTAGCCCTAGACCTTTTCTTGGATTTCTCTTTAATTCAAACTCTGTTAACTCAATGTCCCTATAAATATTCTTTGATTGAATCGTGGGGTGGGGTAATGCAGGAGAGGAGGTTGGCTTGTTGAAATGCAGGTTCCTAGGCCATCCACCAGGCTCAGGAAGATGCACTTTGATCAGCTCCCCAAGTAATCCATACTCCTTTCTTTGTATTTCACTCAATGGACCTTGCAGAGTGATTAACGTTCACTAAGCAACTCAGTAAACATCTGGTTGTGTCAATGAATTAAATTCCTACCCACAGAACCCTTGCCCACAAAACACAGACACCAAACTAACTTATATTCCCATCTTGTACTCATTTCTTCTGATGCTCCCAGTTCACTGTTCTAAGAAGCACACATCAGCTAACGTAGCTTTAGCTCCTCTCTAAAACCATAGAAACAGACTTATTTCTGTTTCATTCTGCCTTTTACTCCCACTCTGACCAAATTCCCTTTTAGTGTTGACTCACAGTGTTTATCTGAGTGTGCACCTGACCTTTTGGTTCTAGGGGCTTCTTTACGGCCCCCTTTTTTCTTTGCCTTCTTTTTGGCGGGTAGAGATGATGCCTTGAGAAAGGAGCACAGATTACGAAGTCACCAGTGCTTTGACTGCCACAATGCCCTGCACACGAAGTTCGTCCACCGTGCAAGGAAAAGAATTTATTTATTATTTTGGATTTTCACCTCACTTGCTTTGTTTGCTAAGTAATCTGATCTATTTGAAAGGCAAATATTATTTTTTAAAAATCACATTGCATTTTCTACAAAGCTGTGTTTTGCTAACATGGAAAGAATGAGGCTAAAGTTTAACTTTTTTTTAATTTACTTTTTAAATGTTTTATTTACTTATTCATGAGAGTCAGAGAGAAAGAGAGAGAGAGAGGCAGAGGCAGAGGGAGAAGCAGACTTCCCGCCCAGCAGGGAGCCCGATGCGGGACTCAATCCCAGGACCCTGGGATCATGACCTGAGCCGAAGGCAGGCGCCCAACCATCTGAGCCACCCAGGCGCCCCTAAAGTTTAACTTTTTAAGTATAATTGTTAAACTATCTGGCATCTCTCAGTAAAGGTAAAGAAGTACTCTAGAATCCAAATTGGCCTTTGTGGGATACGATTTTCCTTTTTGAGTCCATTCATGGCAGAAAATAATTCCTGCTATGTGATTCTAGTGATGCCATTATCATTCTAGTGAAATAATATGGAAAATACTGAACTGGCATCAGATGTGAAATCAGAACTGAGAATATCTCTCTACTAGCAGAAGTCTGCAAGCATGTACTATACAAAGTATTCACCAATACATAAGCATATTAGGAGTGATAGACAGTCATTGTTGACAATATAGGAAAGACACCATTCTTACAACTTCTTAAATAAAAAAATCCATAGCATTGCTTTAGTGAGGGAAATGAATTCTTCTACATGATAGATGATGCAGTCATGGTTTTAAGAACATGACTAAATGATGCCAAAGGAACTTTCTAACAGAGTCGTCCAAAGAGACCTCAGAGTGAGGGCATTTGTGGGAGCAATGACGTATGTGGGCGGATATAGAATGCACACACATGTAAGCTTTAAGGATGTTACTGTGGATCAAAGATGGCAGCAAATTCTTTGCTACTCCCTTTTTAAGAGGTGGAGTCTAATTCTCCTCTGTTGAATCAGGGCTGGTCTTAGTGACTTGCTTGACCACCAGCGTGTGCAAGAAGGGACACCCTGAGGCGAGGTCAGAAGTCTTGCAGCTTCTACCTAGATTTCTTAGAACACTCCCTCTGAGGGAAGTCAACCACTATAAGAAGTTTGACTACACTGAGATCACTCTGTGGTAAGGAATTCCATGCTAGCCACACTGAGAGACAGACCTACAGGCAGACAGAGAGAGATGCTCAGCCAGCCCAGCTCTTCCAGCCACAATAGTCCAGGCACCCGCGGTACGAATGAAAGAGCCATCTTGGACATTCCAGCCTCAGTAGACACAATGTGGAAAAGAACTGAGGATCCCAGCAGATAGCCAGGCATGTGGCTTTGGTGGAGTGCAGCCATGTCCAGTCATGAAGCCACCCAGCTAAGGCTCCAGCCTGAATTTCTGGCCTACAGAATCATGAGCATAAGAAAATGGCTGTAACTTTATGCTGCTATGTTTTGGAGTGGTTTGTTCAATAAAAATAGATAACTGGAACAGATGTTGAAAAGAGGGTTTATATGACTCAGCTATTGCCACAATGATACAGCATAACACATGACTCCAAATCTCAGTAGGTTTCAACAATAGCATTTTATTTTTCTCACTTAGGGGCCCGTGGGCTTCCTGGGATGTCTTCTTTAGGTAGCAAAGCAGTTGGGTTTGCAGGGGCAGGCTGGATTCAGACATGTTTCTCACCTTTTGTTCTGTTGCCAGGCTAAAGGGACAGCATCTACCTGGGGCATGCTGACTCACACGTAAGCAGGAGTCCAAGTACAACTCTGCAAAACATTTCGATGCCTCTGCTTGCTTCACATCCTCTTATTTCACTGGCCAAGTAGGTCATATGGTCAAGCTCAAAATCAAAAAGGTGAGTAAATATACTCCAATCCAAGTGGGAGAAACAAGAGAGGAAATACTTACTGAACAGTACTTACTCCAACCTATTGAGAGTTTCAAGCATCAAACGATGGTGGTGGTGGTGATGGCGAGTGGTATCAGACTGGACCACTTGTAAGGTATTTTGTAATTTGGTACTTATACATCTAAAATCCAGAGAAAACACATGTAAGTGTTGCAGGGGGAGGTGTCTAAATACAGGAATCAATGACTTTTTGTACTAAATACCAACAAGGAGGAGGCGTGTAAAATTATGAAAAGACAAAAGAAATGTAATGGAAGTGCAGAAGGAGAAGAATTAAGAAAAAAAAAAAAAGGAGAGAAAGAAAGCAGAAAGTTAAACACTTCAGCAACTGTTGGGGAGGCCATGAGCAGATAACCTGTCTCTTGGTTTGCCTCACCTGGAGGGAGAGCAGCTCCAGGGCAGCCAGTCCCTGAAAGAGGCCCCCAGACACCAGCTCCTACTTAAAGAGAAGTGTTTCTAGTTCAAACATTAGGCACAGCATAAGGTGCCCACAACACGCTCTCCCACTCGGCACCACTTATGTCCAGGGAAAGTGCCAGCAGGGCAGGTCGTTCGTCACTCCCAATGGAGGGTTAACTATTAACACAGCTCTGGGCTGCACAAAGCTGTGGGCAGCAAGCACGGTGGGAGCAAGGGGGCTTCAGAAAGGCTTTGCAAGAGAAGTGAACTGGGACTGTATGGAGAGGCAAGAAAATGTGGAAACAGCACACAGCCCCATGTTTGTAGCATGCCTAGAGGGTACAAGCTTGGAGAGGGAAGAGACACCAGATCCTGGTAGGTGTTGAATGCCAGGATGAAGAGCGTATTCTTAATTCAGTGGGAGCCACTGAAAGCTTTTGAACAAGAAGTGGTATGAAGGAAGTGGTATGTCCTAGAATACAATTCTTTCCTGCTTCTTTAGTAACAGAGCACCAATCTTTTGTTAAAAAAATAATTTATTTATTGAAGTATAGCAGACACACAGTGTTACATTAGTTTCAAGTGTACAACATAGTGATTCAGCAAGTCTATATGTCAAGCTGTGCTCACCCCAAGGATAGCTGCCATCTGTCACCATGCAACACTATTACAATATCATTGACTATATTCCTTACACTGTCCCTTTCATTCCCACAACTTATTCATCAGAAGCACCGATTTTTAACTGGGGATATGCCTGTGCAAAATAAAGATTCCATTTCCTAACTTCTCTTGCACCTATGTAAGGTCATGTTGTAAATTCTGGTTAATGAAATATAAAGCACATAGCGTGAACAACTTTTAGGAAATATTCTTAAAGGGAGAGGACACTGCTCCTTCTTTTTTTCCTACTGGAAAAGTGGAACCTAATCCTAACATGTATATTGTGCATTAGGAAGATTGGCCTGGGGCAAGGCAAAATATAGGATGGCTGGAACAAGAAGAGCATTGGAGATAGGGAGACTAATTAGGAGAACATTTTGATAGCAGAGATAAGAAGTGAGGAAATAAGAACTGAGCCAGAATGGCAGCAGTGGGAATGGATGGGAGGGGTGGATGTGATAAATATTCTGAAAGGAGTGTCTGTAGGACTTGGCAATTGATCAGATGAGAAGAGACACTAGAGAAGGACGAACGAAAGGCTTCATACAGAGACAACTAGGTGGTCAATAATGTTAGGTCACCTGAGGCTTCATACAGACATGACTAGGTGGTCAATAATGTTAATGTTAGTAATGTTAGCAAATATAGGGGGTCCAGAAGCCTTGAGGAATGCCACCATGAGTTTGATTTTGGATGTGCTGTGGGTATGCTTGCAGGACATTCAGGTGGAGATCTAAAGCAGGTAATTGAAAATTCATTTCTGGAGCATGATTTGAGAGTCCTTTGGGTAAAACAAGGGGAGGGGCTGGTTGGCAAAATAGAGAGTCTGTCTGTAGAAAATCCTTTCTTCAGTGCACACAGAGAAATAAACTGTGTTCTGAAAACATAAAAATATGTTCGCATGCTCCCCTCCTTCCGTCAAAAAAACCCCTACAAACCCCAGCCAATGGCTGGCTGACTGGCTTCAAGCAAGGAAATCCTCCCAGGTCTCAAAATTTGGACAGCTCCTTAATGTTCCTTAGGAAGGCATTTGGATTTGTATAAATATCTGTCATGACATGTTCAAAGATGCCTCCTTTTCAGCAAGAGATCTAGAGTAATTGCCTTCCTCCTTAACTCAGGTTAGCCACATGTAAGAAGACTCCCCTTTTCCCAGAAGTCTTAAAAGACCAATTCCTTTCAAAAGCAGAATGAGAAAATATGAAAAAACTAATACATGTGACAGAGTAAAACGACTCTGCAGAGGTCTCTCATATATCCGCCATGGCCAGAGCAGGTATTACATAAAAGTTGAAATAAAAAGGAAATGAATTGAGTGTTAACATTAAGAAACCATCTTTGCAGGCTGGCTAAACCACTGTATGTACAGTTTTCCTGCGACGGCTGGGGGCCGAGAGATGGAAGAGGTTAAAATCCAGTGGCTTGGGGGCGCCTGGGTGGCTCAGCTGTTAAATTTGAGCCTTCGGCTCAGGTCATGATCCCAGGGTCCTGGGATCGAGCCCCGCATCGGGCTCCCTGCTCAGCGGGAAGCCTGCTTCTCCCTCTCCCACTCCCCCTGCTTGTGTTCCTTCTCTCGCTGTGTCTCTCTCTGTCAAATAAATAAATAAAATCTTTAAAAAAAATTAAAAAAAAAATCCAGTGGCTTGTGTACTACGTGGTAGAAATGCAACTGCAAGTGGTGGCGAGAGAGCTGTTGATTCTACAAGAGTTTTGCGTCTTCAGGCTACATACAGCCCGCAGACAGCTGTCGGGCAACCGAAGGCCTATCCGGGAGGCTTTAAGACCCCTGCACTGGAGAGCGCTAGCACGCGAGCCCGGGCGCTGGGTTTGGTGCCACCCCGGTTTCACTTACAGGTGAAGACTTGTCACAGCCCTTATCGAACGTGGGATAAGGCTTTTCTAATTCATCCACCCATCATCCGTCTTCCGTCTCAGGGCCAGGCCTGCGCTGGGCACCCTGGCGTGCTTTATCCTACAGGACTCCTGGAGGAGGGGATTTAGGCAGGAGGAGGACGCGGCCGGAGAACCGTCCGGGTCGGGGGATGGGGGGGTGAGGGGGTGTGGGATGCCTCACCGCGCGCGGCCCTTTTGCAACAGAGGCCGGTGTGTTCTCGGACAGACCGCGGGGGCGAAGGCACCAACCCGGGCGGGAACCTCTCCCCTCCCCCAATCCCCAGGCCAGGGAACGCGGCTGGGTTCCACATTCTCTCGGGCCCTCTAACCCCGAGGGCCCAGATCCCGGCCGGCCCGAGCGGCCCCGGCAGGTGCAAACGAGCCCGGGCCGTGCCTCAGGCCGCGCCCCGTCGCGGTCACCCGGAGCCCGCCCCAGTTAGCGGGGCCGGACGGCGGCTGCGGGCGCCCGGATTGGCCGGCTCCGCCGGCGCCCCAGCGTCCCTGGCAGCGCCCCCAGCCCTGCCGCCCCTCCCCCCGCGCCGGCCTCCAGGGCGAGGGGCGCGCGGCGGCGGCTCCCGGGCGCTGATTGGCCGAAGCCGCGGGGGGCGGGGCGGCGGGTGTGAAGGGGGCGGGCTCGGGCTGCTCACGGCTCCCTCCCTTCTTCCCATCTGCGTCCTCTCTCGCGGCTCCCGCGTTGCATCATCTCCAGCCTGTGGCCGCTGTGGGAAGGCTGGGCGCGGCGCGATCCACTCAGGCCGTGGCTCCAGCCTGCTCTCCCGCGTCTCTCCTGGCCCTTTCCCACCTGCTTCTGCACCCACGCCGGGAGCTCCCCGCCCGCCGGCTCCCAGAACCCGCGGAGCGCAACCGGCGGACGTCGCCAGCTCTGCCTGATCCGTTCATTGAGAGCCCGGCTTATCCCAGAGCCAAGTCTCCCGCCTCCTCCAGCTCGGCGCCGCGAGCAGCGCCATGGAGAAGAGTAGCGAAACCAACGGCTACCTGGACGGCGCCCAGCCGGGGCCTGCAGCAGGGCCTGGCGCGCCCGGGTCCGCGGTGGGACACGCGCGGCGCTGCGCGGGCTTCCTACGGCGGCACGCGCTGGTGCTGTTCACCGTGTCCGGAGTGGTGGCGGGCGCCGGCCTGGGCGCGGCGCTGCGCGGGCTTGGCCTCACCCGCACGCAGGTCGCCTACCTGTCCTTCCCCGGCGAGATGCTGCTCCGCATGCTGCGCATGATCATCCTGCCGCTGGTAGTCTGCAGCCTGGTGTCGGGCGCCGCCTCCCTCGACGCCAGTTCTCTCGGGCGCCTGGGCGGCATCGCCATCGCCTACTTCGGCCTCACCACGCTTGGCGCCTCGGCGCTCGCTGTCGCTTTGGCGTTCATCATCAAGCCTGGGTCTGGCGCGCAGACCCTCCAGTCCAGTGACCTGGGGCTGGAGGAGTCGGGGTCCCCTCCGGTCCCCAAAGAGACAGTGGACTCTTTCCTCGACCTGGCCAGGTAACGCCCCCCCCCGCCCCCCCGCCAAGTGCACAGTGAGGGACACAAGCTCTCTAATGCATTCCAGTGCGTTCCTCCCCCCACCCCCACACATACACACGGACACACACACCACCTTCATACACTGCTAAGAGTTCATTCTTAATTGGCTGCTGGTGATGAACCAGCCCTACCATTAGGTGGGAGTGTTAGGGAAGAGCAGCTGTCCCACCTGTACTGTACTCCTTGTACCATTCGGCCGCCCTTACCAGTAGGAACGTTCCAACCATACCCCATTATCTTCACCCTGTTTTCTCGGCGCGGTCCCCGAAAGCTGTTGGGAGCATTAGTTAAATTTTGCCTGTATCATCCTCACCTGTAATCTCTGGCCTTCCCTGTTTCAGCCCTTCGGCTGAGAGGAAGGTAGCAATTTTTGAAGACTTATCAGAGGACCCAAGGATAACAGGGCTGGGGTTAGTTGTATGAGGCCCACTGCCCAGAAACATGGCTCTCCCGGGGGCTTGGGACAAGTTGCTTCCACCCCATAGTCAGGATCACTGTAGAGTATTGTTGGGTTTCAAGGAGCTTTATTTCTGGAAGGGTGAGTTCTAGAGGGGAAGGAGTTTTGCCTGTTCTTTGTGATTCTTAGAAGTTGCATTTTATCCCTTGAGATGCAATGTTGTTTTTGGATTATCCAAAGCCTCAGCCTCTCTTGGTTTCTCCATTAGCCCAGAGTTCACAGATGGGAGAACTGCAGCCTGGAGGCATTTACCGTCCTGGCCAGGTTCAGCTGAGTGAGGAGCTCAGCTGGCTCCTCCAGGTTTCCGAAAATTCTGGATTTGGAACCTTGGAGGTATGTTTTGTCTTGAGTCACTGAGGCAAAGCTCCTCCTGGCTGAGGCTACAAAAAACAGCAAATCCTGGGCAAAGTGACTTGACTTCCTGCTATTTGCTTTTCTCCCTCTGGAAAATGTGATGAATGTCTGCCACTTGAGTGTGTGTTCATTTGAAACTACAACAACAACAATAAAAAGTCCAAGGCTTTTGTATTGAAAAAACAAACAAACAAACAAAACACAAAACCAACCCAAAAACCTCCAATGAGGGGGACCAAAAAGTTCATACCAAAAAGGCAGATGGGGATGGCCTAAGAGGACTTTGATGTGATCACAGTCTTTGGTATCTGGCAACTTGATATTTGGTCTTCTGAGATCCTTAAAGTTTTGGGACTTTTAGGTGGGTGCTGAAAACAAAGTGCTGAGGTTGAGAGTGCTTTGGGCTTATTACATTCAGTGTATCAGTCAGTTTTCCCCAGGAGGGAAGGTGGTTATGGGGTTAAAGGATTCTTTTTTGCAGGGATCAGTGGCCCAGGGAAGGGAGTATGGATGCCCAGCTCTGACCTGCTGGTGGTACCCCAGAGGGAGGCTCAGTAGCATTCTTTTATCTCCAAAAGAGGGACAGTAGCCCCCAAATGGCGCAAGGTAAGGTGAGGGGTTACTTTATTACCACCTGTCTCAGAAGGGACATCTTATTTCTTGATCGTGGTTTTCTAGTTTTAGATCCAAGCCCCTACAGCTGCTGCTTCTGAAGCGAATGGTGACCCAGCATCATGGCTTAGTGGTCTGTCTGGGTGCAGACTTTTCAGTGACTTGGGCTGCAGATGCAGGAAAGGACTAAGAGAACCTTTGTCGTGGCTTGTTGGGAATACGCAGCATTTCATAATGCTTCCACAGCCAGCCTCCAGCTGCTCACAGATAAAGGTAGGGCAGGTGCTATGATCCTGTTTTACGACTGAGGAAACTGAGGCAGAGAGAGATTAAGTGATTTGCTCAAGGTCACAGAGTGGTTTATTGAAAGAAGGATTAGCAAAACTATGGGTCTTGTGCCCCACAGTTCGGGGTTCTGCTTCTCCCACTCTCCCCTCCCCCAAGTCAATATGCCATAGTAATGGTGCCATGCTGCTGGTCCAGTCCGCCATCTCAGAAATGTTTGCTCTGGGCCAAAAGGGAATCAGGTAAGAATATGATTTGGGTCAGGGCAGATGCCCACTTCCTCTAAACAGAGGACCTGAGCCCCGTCCAGTGAAGGAAAGCCTGTGTACTGCTCTTCCGATTTGCCCTCACGTTGAGGAGCTTGTGAGAGGGAACTGAGTTCTGAGCCATGTCTAAGTGCTTCCTGAGTCCCTGGGTCAAAGTTTTAAATTTGCTTCCTGCAAAGAAACCCCGCAGATACTGATTTTATGGGACTCTGGGCACATTCCTTGGTAAGGGCAGGGCGCAGTCCTTTCTGCCTGTGGGCACTGAATGAAGTGAGAACGCTGACAAACACCTCAGTTATCCAACAGGCCCTCACCGGGTAACTGCCCAGAACTCAAAACACCCAAAAGGAGTGGGAGCAGTCTCTGATAATATAGCGCAGCTGCTGCTGGGGCTTTGCTGGTGGTGCAGTGCCTCAGGGTCTCTCTGCTCCGGTGTCTAATTTTTCTCAAGACGGAACTACAAGTCAGAAAGAAATGAAGCTAGGGGGCGCCTGGGTGGCTCAGTCGGTTAAGCGACTGCCTTCGGCTCAGGTCATGATCCTGGAGTCCCGGGATCGAGTCCCGCATCGGGCTCCCGGCTCGGCGGGGAGTCTGCTTCTCCCTCTGACCCTATCCCCTCTCATGCTGTTTCTCTCTCTCTCTCTCAAATAAATAAATAAATAAATAAAATCTTAAAAAAAAAAAGAAAAGAAAATGAAGTTAATAGATATTCAGTATAACTTTCAGAAGATTTTCAGAATGCCGTTGCTGAGTGGTTTGATTTCCCAAGCCACAGTGGATTAGAAATAACAAAGGCCAGGGAGTGTGTGTGAACCACGGGTGCTGGAAGCAGGCCCTTCAAGAGCTGAGAAGGGGTGATGGAGAGCAGCTAGCAGGTGGGAGAGCGCGGGTCTTCTCCTGAGCAGCCCAGAGCTTTATGCCTGGAGACTCAGAACAGTACAGGACTCTCAGAACTGGGTGTGACCCAAGTGATTGAGCTGTGGCTGTTCATCCAAAATGAAATGGTTTCGGCACCAAAGAGCCGCTGAAACAGGTTACGAGGAACTCAGTCATTATGGAACTTCTTGGTCCCTAACAAGGTTTACTGATTGGGAGTCCTAGAGCATGTCCCTAATTTCTGTGTCTCAGCTTCCTCATCTCTGTAATGGGCATCATGAAAGTACCTGCCTCGGAAGATTGTTCTGAGGGTTACATGAGTTATGTCTGTAAAGCTGTTTGACCAGGGCTGGCCCACTCTGTGCTTACTCTGGTTATGAATGGGCCAGGATTACAGAGCTATCGGGAAGTTGTGTTTGTTTCACATGAACTTACAGGGATGGCCCTCTTTTCATAGTCTAAAAGAAAAGAGAATAAATGGCGGGGGGAATGTTTGGGGGAGCTCACGATGACTTGAAGCTAATGTTTTTAGGTGTGTTGGGAACTACATGGAACTTGGAGAAAAAGAAGTGAACAGTTACTATGTTTTGGACTAACAGAATCAACACTGTGGGGAAAAAAGGGGGAGGGTGCCTGGGTGACTCATTCGGTTAAGCATCTGCCTTCGGCTCAGGTCATGATCTCAGGGTCCTGGGATCGAACCCTGCGTCGGGCTCTCTGCTCAGCAGGGAGTCTGCTTCTACCTCTCACTTTTCCTTTATGCTCTCTCTCTCAAATAAATAAATAAAAATCTTAAAAAAAAATCAACACGTGGGAATTTTGGAAAATGTAGAAAAGTCAAAACGGAACACAGAAGAGCCTTCCATTCTAAAAGGGAGCAGAAATCCTCACTACCCTCTCTGACATTCCAGTTTCTGCATTCCTGTCCCCCGCATTACATGTTTATGGTCTCCAAAGCTGACCATCGACCTCAATTTTCTTCCGCTATAAGTGGAAAGGATTGAGACCACTGGCTTCTAACATTCCCGTGGGTGTTAAAATTTGTAGTTTTCAAATGGAAAACCAGAGGCTTCTCTGCAAAGGTGGCAGGTAAGGACAGCTCCTGGGTGGGGCCGAGGGCTCCTTCTGGCCCCAGGCCACTGTCTTTTGCAGAAGCTTAGCAGGATGCAGCCCTGTGCCTGCCTGGTAGACACAAATGAGATTTTGCCTGTTGCCCAGTTTTCTAGGCTTTATATTTTTTTCTTGTGCTCATTTTCTCAACAGTGGACAGTGCTTTGAGCCTTTCGCTTCACAGAGGGAAGCATGAGGGACTTACTTGCCTGGTCAAGGACTGGTGTGAATATGATGCCTCTCAACCTGCAAAGAACACACTTCTTGAATAGCTTCAAAGAAACCTGTAGGAGGCCGAGCTCTAATATTAGCCCCTAGATCGTAGTCAAGGGAGTGAATAGTGAATAATTTCTTTTAAATGTTGGCCATGGCAGGCCGTTTGGCATAGGCCTACGTCTCTCTTCTATAGGCAAGAAGAAGACTCTTAGCAAATCTAACAAGGATCCATTTATGGAGGTTTCTCAGCCTAGTTAGTCACTAAAGGGAAAAAGTGGCAGCTTGTTATTTAAAAAAATAATAAAAGCTTTTACCTTGATACCTTTCCTTCTGCCACCCAGGAGACTACCTGAATAGTTCAGAGACTGAAAAGAGCATACACCCAGTGAGGCGGCATGGGGGGGGGGGGGATTAAAAGCAGACACTGGGGTCAACTACCTGAGTTTGAATCCTGCTCTACCACTTACTAGCTGTATGGACAAGTCTTTAAGCCTCTCTATGCCTCAGTGTTCTTATCTGTAAAATGAGACTAATAATAGTGTCTACTACCTACATTTGTTATGAGGATTAAGTGAGTTAATATTGGAGTGTCTTGCTAATATTCTCAAGTGTCCCAGCCCCTCAGGGATAGTCCTCAGGCCATTTGTTACAGAGGATTGGTGCTGTTTTTAATCTTATTTCCCCGAAAATCCCCACCTCAGGGGCCTGGCATTAACCTTTCCAGCTGGAATCTAAAACTGGATATGGGCCTTCAAAAGAGGGTAGATTACTCCCCTGCCCCCCACTGTCACCAGAGTATAAGCCCACTACACCCAACCCTTCCTCTGCTCCCAGCCTTGTGGGGGGTACCAAGATCTGAAGGGGCATGTCCCTGTTAACCAACTCTATAACAATAAACACTAAGGATAATAAATATTTAGCAGGTGTACATACCGTGCAATATCCTGTTCTGAACAGTCTTTGAAATTTTCATAAATTCAGTAAAGAATTTTTGAACTTAAATAAAAGGAAATATTTCTGGAACAAAAAAATATACCTAAGCAAAAGTAAATTGTTTTCCATTCTTCTCATATAGGACAGGGAAATGCATACCACCCTTGACATTTAAATAGGATCAGAAGAGCAAACAGTACCAGATGTATAAAGAAGGAACATTTTTGAAGTTCTTCATTGTGTGAGCCGCATGTGTGTATACCACCACTAACAGAAGTTCGGCCTCCTCTCATACCCCCTAATGCCCAGTGAAATTGGGTACTGTGGAGAGGCAAAGCATGGAAAGACCATTTGGTCCTTCTTACTCCCAGACTCTGGATCTCAAAACTCCAGATCTGCAGTGTCCAGTATGATAGACATTAGCCACAAGTGTTTACAGTTAAGACATTTCAATGTAAATAAAATAATTCAGATCCTCCGTAGCACCAGTCATATTTCAAGTATCCAATAACCACATGACTACCGTATTGGACAGTTAGTCTAGGTGGAGCATGAATGGGAGATGTACCAGCTAAATGTCTCTGGGTTCTTGGTGTCCCCATGTGCTAAATGAGGGTGTTGATCTTGACCACCTCTAAAATCTCTTCCAGCTCAAATGTTTCTTATTTTGAAAGCACATGGAGTTATTGTGTGAATGTGAGGAGTTAGGAAAAGTGCCTGAAGACAGAGCTCTGAGGGGCAGGCAAACCTGCTTACATGACAAACAGCTGATGCCTGAATGCAGGAGAGCTCAGGAGTAAGGAAGCCAGAGTTCATTCACAGCAGCGTCTGTGTTTAAAAGCCAAAGGGAAGAGGAATAAGAAGCTTGCAGAGAGGAGATCAAAGTTGGAGGGCTGACACTACCCGACTATATGCGACTTAACATAAAACAACAGTAGTCAAGACAGTGTGGTGGCTGGTGAAGGAATAGTCAAATAGACCAATGGAACGGAATAGAGAGCCTGTGTAAATATAGTCAACTGATCTTTGACAAAGAAGTAGAGGCGATACAATGGCACAAAGATAATCTTTTCAACAAATTGTGCTGGAACAGCTGGACATCTGACACCTAGACACAGACCTTGCACCCGTCACAAAAATTGACTCAAAATGGGTCACAGACTTAAATGTAAAACGGGAAACTCTCAAACTCCTGGAAGAAAACGTAGAGGACCTAAATGACCTTCAATATGGCAATAACTTTTTACTTTTTTAAATTTTATTTTATTATGTTATGTTAGTCACCATATAATACATCATTAGCTTTTGATGTAGTGATCCATGATTCATTGTTTTCGTATAACACCCAGTGCTCCATGCAGTACGTGCCCTCCTTAATACCCATCACCGGGCTAACCCATCCTCCCAGCCCCCTTCCCTCTAAAACCCTGTTTGTTTCTCAGAGTCCATAATCTCTTATGGTTCATCTCTCCCTCCGATTTCCCCCCCTTCATTTTCCCCTTCCTTCTCCTAATGTCCTCCATGCTATTCCTTATGTTCCACAAATAAGTGAAACTATATGATAATTGACTTTCTCTGCTTGACTTATTTCACTTAGCATAATCTCCTCCAGTCCCATCCATGTTGATGTAAAAGTTAGGTATTCATCTTTTCTGATGGCTGAGTAATATTCCATTGTATATATGGACCACATCTTCTTTATCCATTCATCTGTTGAAGGGCATCCCGGCTCTTTCCACAGTTTGGCTATTGCAGACATTGCTGCTAGGAACATTGGGGTGCATATGGCCCTTCTTTTCACTACATCTGTGTCTTTGGGGTAAATACCCAGGAGTGCAATTGCTGGGTCATAGGGTAGCTCTATTTTTAATTTTTTGAGGCACCTCTACACTGTTTTCCAAAGTGGCTGTACCAACTTCCATTCCCACCAACAGTGTAAGAGGGTACCCCTTTCTCCACAACCTCTCCAACATTTGTTGTTTCTTGCCTTGTCAATTTTTGCCATTCTAACTGGTGTAAGGTGGTATCTCAGTGTGGTTTTGATTTGAATTTCCCTGATGGCTAATGATGATGAACATTTTTTCATGTGTCTATTAGCCATTTGTATGTCTTCTTTGGAGAAGTGTCTGTTCATGTCTTCTGCCTATTTTTTGACTTGATTATGGCAATGACTTTTTAGATACAACACCAGAGGCACAATCTGTGAATGGTGCAGAGAAGTGTTTTTACTTTACTCCACAGCCTCAGCTCCTTGCCATTGTATGTATGGGCAGGAGGAACAAGAAAAAGGAGAATGATTTTGTGGATGCATGAGCTATGTCTCACTGCCCCCAGGTGGTGCCTTCCCAGGGATTAATATCTGAGAGCTGAGCTATAGAAAATTCAGTCATCCCTTTGAACGTATGTATTTTTTTGGTTGTAAATTCTTTGCAGTTTGTACTATATCCTATTTTTTAGCCTTTTACGCAGTTTTGAGATATGATTTAAACACAATAAAATGCACCTATTTTAGGTGTACAGTTCAATGAGTTTTAATAAAGAATGAGTTGCAATAAAGAAAGTCTAATAGCGAGAAGGAAACCCCAATTTTATGTAACCTAATCATGAAAATGACATCGATCACCTTTGCTGAATTCTGTTGGCTAGAAGCAAGTCATAGGCCCCACCACTCAAGGGGAAGGTATCGTACAAGGTGTAACTACCAGGAGTCTGTCTTAGATTGCTTGCCAAGCTGGGTTGCAGTCAGACCTACCTACCTCTGAAACAAAAAGCACTGCAAATGGCTGCCTAGAGATTCTAGTGCTAGATAAACAACTCAGCCACAGAAGTAAGTATTAATGGATAAGTTTGGCATAATTGTAAAGGATGATTCAGTCTTTTACAAATGGACCATCACTGGGATTTTGTTATATATCAAGACCAGCATCCTGCATAGAGCCTGACCCAAAGGAGGCCCTCAATAAAAACTGTTCACATGAATAGATTTTGGTTTCAAAATCTAGCTTAACTTGACCAGTCCTATTGCCCTCCTTTTACAACAAATACTTTATAAAATCCTTCATCCTGAAATGAAATCCATAAATAGAATTTCAGTTCATTTCAATTTCAAAGCATCAATATGACTCAACAGAAAGATAAAAGGAGAGTAATTTATAATAAAAAATGATGTGTTTCAATATGTAAAGATCCTAATTAGGTGTTTGCTTCTGAATTTACATTCACCATTAATGAGACAGCTGTAAATGCGGGCTGGTACTTGATAGTGGTGTGTGCAATTAAGGACCCAGATCCTACAATTTGCCATTGGTGATGTGATTTTCCTGAAAGATGAACAATCTTTGGAAACATTCTGAACAAACCAAAATAAAACTTATTCCACGTTTTGCACAGTAATTGCATTCCTAGAAAATTCAGTGTATGTTCAAATTGTGCAAAAAAAAAACCAAAACAACAACCTTGTTTTGGAATGAGTTTAGGCTGAGGTAATTATAAATAAGGCTTTCATCTACAGGTATGTCATATGGGACATTTGGAAAGTGTGAGGGCCACACTCAGTAGAATGAATGGCTGGGACCTGGCACTCCCCCCATACACACTCCCCAATGGTAGGAATGCCCCCCAGTTATTTTGACAATGAAAACACTCCCTTGGATTTCACCAGTGGGCAATACCACTACTGTTGAAAACCGCTGCGACAGGCTTTAATTTCTAGGGGAAGTGATGCAGTTTTTCTGGAGTACCATGATGGAGGTAAGGATAAAAACCGGTGCACGCCAAGTATCTACTGTGACCCGGCAGCCGAGCCCTAGCTGGGTGCTTGGATCAAGCAGGGACCACAGTAACTGCTGGACAGAGAGGGAACGCTGTGTGTTAGGCTGTCAGGAATGGGCATCTGAAAGTGGACACTTTGCTGAACTTTAAGAACACTGACAAAGTGCTTTCTTTTCCAACAGAAACCTGTTTCCCTCAAATCTTGTGGTTGCCGCTTTCCGTACGGTAAGGCTTGATGCTTTGCAAAAAATAAGAAACTTTTATGGGGGTGGTGTATAAATGATGCCATGGAGTTAGGTAAGGTGGGTCAGAGAGGGGTAGTATTGTTAACAAAACTTGGTAACCCTGGCCTAAATTTTTGTAGAGGGGACCCTGGAGTTAAACGAAATGACAAAAAACAAAAAGGTTTTCTAAAATATCCCACTGGTTCCACCATCCTTTCATATCACCTGAGAAAGACTCTTAAATAACATTTTGGGGATCCCTTAAATATTTTAGAATTTTTTAAGAATATACTTTTATCTTTTTTTCTGATTATGAAGGTAATATGTGCTCATGTAAAAAAATTTTTAAAAAGTGCAAAAATATGGAAGAAATTACAGATCACTCATAATCACTACCTAGAGATGCCCATTAACATTTTGGTATACATCCTTCAGATATGTTTTTCTCTGCATGTGCCACACGTGTTTTAAAAATAAAAACAATTGTACTACACCTTTTGTTAGGATGTATACATGCTACACATACTGTTTTTAACCTCTTTTTTTAAGGCGGCGTATTATAAACATTTCTTCATGTCGGTAAATACCCTTCTGCATAATGTTAATGGCCCTATTCCACTGTGTGAGCATATCATAATTTTATTCTGTCACTTCCTTATTGATAGACATTCAGATTGTTTCTAGTTTTTCCTAATTTTCGCAAGACTGCAAGTAACGTCCCTGTAGCCATGCTATGTGAGGAGAAGGAGTATAAAGGTCTAGATTAGATGGACTAATCTCATTGCCTTTTCCAAGCAAAGACTTTTCTGTTTCTATTTACAGCCTCTCCCTCTCTATCTTTCCAAAAAAAAAAAATCTGCGGGGCGCCTGGGTGGCTCAGTTGGTTAAGTGGTTCCCTTCAGCTCAGGTCATGATCTCGGGGTTCTGGGATCGAGCCCGGCAGGGAGCCCGCTTCTCCCTCTCCCTCTGCCCCTCCCCCCTGCTCGTGCGCTCCCTCTCTTTCTCAAATAAATAAATAAATAAAATATTTTTTAAAAATCTGCATATAAGTACAGCTGTGGTTTATATATATAATGTGAGGTAGGAAAAAAATGAAAGGTTTATGGGGCTTTCAGTGCCTATCACAGAAGGCATGGGGTGGGTTTTTTTCCCCTGTCACCTGTAATCACAGGATAGCTGAACACCTCTGCTTGTCTGAAAGCTTTATAAATCAAAGGTGAGAGAGACCAGGCCGCATCAAAGGCAGGCACAAAGCAGTACCCCATAATGGGTTCCTCTTGACAGTTCAGAGCCAGGTGTCCTTAGAAGGGGTCAGGAAAGGCATTTTATAAGAAACTCCATTCAATCATGCATTCTGCCATAGGGAGACACCTGCATGCATTGTGCAAAAGTATGTGAAGTCAATTGTAGGACCCAAGTTTGGAGAGTCATTTCACTTCTGATAAGTGAGTCTCCCACAAGACTTAGCCAAAAAATGCCATCTTGCCTCACATCCTTTGCTTTGGAGAGCGGAGGTCAAGCCGATTAGAAGTAGATGCTGAGGGGCGCCTGGGTGGTTCAGTAGGTTAAGTGTCTGCTTTTGGCTCAGGTCATGATCTTGGGGTCCTGGGATCACCGCTCATTGGGCTCCCTGCTTAGCAGGGAGTCTTCTTCTCCCTTTCCCTCTGCCCCTCCCCCCTCCCCCACACCTGGTTCATGCTCTCACTCTCTCTCTCTCAAATAAATAAATAAAATCTTTAAAAAAAAAGAAAAAAGGAGTAGATGCTGAAAAGCAGTCAAGCTCAAATAAATTCTGGAACAAAGTGGAACATAAACATATGAATGAAAATAAAATGACACATTGAAAAGTGAACTTCGACATTATGAAATTAATACCGAAGTTCAAAGTGTCAGGTGTTTGAAATATCAAACTATCAGCATGAAATTGTGCAGAACTTTTCCTCCAAATCATTGCCCCTAATGGTGTGGGTCCCTAAAAAACTCAGAGGCCTCTTGGGATGTATGCTGCCTTGGTCTTAAGTAACTTTTGTACGGTTCTCAGAGGCCCTCGTTAGGCCAACCAAGTGAGGAATTCCCAGAACGCTCAGAGTGAATAAGAAGAGTAGCAAGAGGTCCAGCAGTCCTCTCAGATTCTCTGGTCGGCCTTCACCTGTGAACTGACAGCATCTTCTTCTTTCTCTTGTTCCCAGTATGCAACTGATTATAGAGAGGTGACCCACAACACGAGCTCTGGAAATGTAACCCATGAGAAGGTAAAGCTCTTTATAAGATCACTTGTGGCTAGTAACTTATAAAGCAAATAATGCTTTTTAATTGAAGGAGCATACAAGATGCATCCTCTCAGCAGGGCTGAAAACTGGGGTTTGAAGGAACTATTTGAAGAACATAATTAGGCTTGCTCCTTGGGTTATTTACCAACATGGCCCAAGGCCAGCCTCTGCAGCATTGCAGTCTTTAGCAGATCCATTTCATCAAATTGGAACTGATGTCCCTTTCTTCAAAAAATCTTTTATAACACCCCTTCTGCTATCCTGAAATATAACTAATAGGTGATTTAACCTATCTCTACACATAGAACTTGTCTCAGGGGCTTAACTCACTATAGCCATCATTCACTCACACATATTTTTTGAGTAGCCATTATCGGCTGGACACTGGGTAAGGTCCCAGCCTTCATGATAGAGTTGGAAGGACAAGGAGAGGGACCAAGATAATCAAGGATTATTCAGTGCTGCTACAGAGCTGTCATGGGAAGAAGGAAGTACTTCGCCCTTTCCCCATCCCCACACATACAGCTTCTCAGGGCTGAGGGGCTCTGAGCTCTACCAGCCTTTCTTTGAGGAAAAGTTGTACTTAAAAAAAAAAAAAAAAAAGTCGAACGCTACTAGTTAGTCCAAATCACTTCCTCTTGCAGATGAAGGACCTGAAGGTCAGAGAAGTTATTTAATATCAGAGCTGGGACTAGAACTCAGATCTATGGTAAAAATGTTCTTTCTCTTTTTACCATGCTGATACATGTTTCCCGTTCAGAATTTCATGTATTTTGATGGAATAATACGTTTGTCCAATGTATGCTTGTAGTAGTGAGATTGAGCATTATGGAAAAAAAATAAGGAATATAGTATATCCATATATTTTATTTTAAGTCAGTGACTCAGGAAAGAATATCCTGAAAATCTTCTGTGAAATTTGTCAGCTAGGAGGCCACAGTAACAGTCTAGCAACAAGATTTGTTGACATTTGGGAGGCACAGTTAAAATCATTGACTCTCGATCTGAAGGAACTTTTCACCAACCAGCTCTTCTTTTATTTTTTTAATTTATTTTTTTGTATTTATTACTGCAGTGTAGTTGACATACAATGTTATATTAACCAGCTCTTCTTTTAAAAGCAACCTTTTGGGGGCGTCTGGGTGGCTCAGTCGGTGAAGCATCCAACTCTTGATCTCAGCTCAGGTCTTGATCTCAGGGTCATGAGTTCAAGTCCTGAGTTGAAAATGCTACTTGATAAAATAAAATAAAAGCAACGCTTTGAAGTGATTGTCCAACCGCTACTTGAATTCTCACTCATCTGTTGTAAACTTAGACCCTCTGTCCCCTCTGATCCCACAGATTCCCATTGGCACCGAGATCGAAGGGATGAACATTTTAGGATTGGTCCTCTTTGCCCTAGTGTTAGGAGTGGCCCTAAAGAAACTCGGCTCTGAAGGAGAAGAACTCATCCGTTTCTTTAATGCCTTCAATGAGGCAACAATGGTGCTGGTGTCGTGGATTATGTGGTAAGTTTGGCCCGCCTGCTACTCTCCCTCTCATTTCTTTTGCCATCCAGAAAAGAACCCAAGTCTGCTGTCCTAGGTCACCCCTGTGGGGCTGCCCGGCTAAGTGCTTCGCCTATGGTTGATGCACCATGGGCCAAACTTGATACAGTGATACAGGGGGTTGTGGAGGTGGAGACAGTTTCTCCTCTTGTCTAGGACCTCAGAGAATCAGGCATGTGCCATAGTTACCAGTCCCTTCTTCAACACCCACAGGGACGCCTTATGGTTCTATCACTGGTGATTTATTTATGAGTTTCCCCCATTATCCATAGCATGTGGGATGCCCATATCATCTTGTGGGGCAATGAACTCCATAACTGTGCTACCTGCAGCATAAAATAAAGCTTATTTATCTTAAAACAGTAGACTTCAAGCTTCAAAGGGGCCCCTTCCTATAATATTTCACAGCATGGAAGACAAATTCATTTTCACCCCATGCATATATAAACTTGGAATGGTCTCTTTTCACATAAATGTTTCTTTATGTAACATCAATAAAAGCACAGTTGTTTAATAAAAAACATTGGATTGATTTCTGGCTAACAAGTAAAAATTTGACCAGAGGTCTCAAAGTGACTTCTCAGAAATCATACCAATTCCAGTGCCTATCCCTCATAAGCTTCATCTTGCTGTTTTACTTGAACCAAACTTCTGTGGGTTTTAGCTTCTACTGGTACATTGTCCAGAAATGTAGTTTATCCTTTCATACATGAAGCATTTTCCTTATCGTCAACCCTTAACTATCCCACAACTTCTCTCTATCAGATGGCATGGGGGTGGCAGATCTTAGGAGAGAAGACTGGAATTTGGTAGTAAAGTTTGGAATTGAAGGGGAGGCCAAGTCCAGAGCCCCCACTAGTGGTGTTTATCTTCCTCAATCAAAAATTCCAGAGTCTGACTCCATCATTGCAAACATGACTGTTCATGTGACTGCTGTTGTTCTGGGGAGAAAAATATTTTCAGAAAGGAAAAAGTGTTTTCATCACGTGTCAGGTTCTTTCCCTTTCCCTTATTTTTTTAAGTCTAAAATCCTCCCAAAGTTTGGATTAAAGGAAATTATGCAAGAAAGTGATGTTGCGATGTTAAGACATTTGTTTTCAATCTGAAAACCAATTTATAGTCATTCCTTCAATTCGATGTACTAGTTATATAAGTGGGTGTTCAGTAAGGCAGATCCTGCTGCTGTGTGTTTGACTGCAGTGGGAGATCTGTTGCCCAGCAAGTGCATCTCACACAGAATTAGGGTTTAAAATGCCTTGCCTGGTTAAAGGATCTCAACCAGGTTTGAGAGGGATCTCCAGTAGCAGCTCTTTCTGCTATCTTGCCTTTGCTAATTACCTACTGTAATGTCAAAGCACCTGCCTATCCTGCACTATTCACAGAAATAATGCCTCAGTTGATTAAATACAGGCTCGGCAAACTTGGCAGACCATATGGTCTCTGTCACAACTACCAACTCTGCCATTATAGAATGAAAGCAACTGTAGACTATTTATAAATGAATGAATGTGGTTGTTCCAATAAAATTCAGGGTGCTAACCCATGCATTAAACCATCCAAGGAGGAAGGAAGAAAGGAGGAGGGGGGTTCCCTAAAAGTATTAGAAGAAAACATAGGGGTATGGAAACTCTGCCTAAATGGAATGCAAAAAGTACAAGCCATAAAAAGCTGCCAAATCTGACTACATCAAAATATAAAATGTTTGCATGCAAAAGATACCTTGAACAAAAGAAGACACTGAAAAAAATTTATATATATTTACATATAATGTATATATGAACACACACACACACACACACACACATCTCAGGTACCTAGTTTCCAGAGGACTGGTACAAGTTCACAAACTGTTTTTCTGGCTGCAGTGAGATTTATAGGGAAATTGAGGATAAGTGTTTAGAAACTTTTATAGCAATTTCATATTGCTGCAACATCCAAGCACCTGATCACTTTTCTAATATTTTATTTCTGTTGTCTTTTATAAGAATATGGTCCATGACCAACTAGATAGAAATACACCAAAGATCATTTGAGAAGCACTAATGCAGAGTTCTGGTTGTTGAAAAAGAAAAAAGACTGAATATACTATTAGAAAGTAGACAAAGTATGTGAGCAGGCAATTCATAGAAGAGGAAACCTGAATGATCAATAAACATTTTAAGGGATGTCCAACTTACTAGGATTAGGAAAATGAAAAGTTTGGTTTTATTAGGCGTTGATAAGAGTGAGGATAGTTTTGAGCAAACGTTGGGGTGTTTAGCAGCATCCCTGGACTCTACCCACTAGATGCCAGTGACACCCCTCCCCAAAGCTATGACAACCAAAAATATCTCCAGACATTGCCAAATGTCCCACAGGGGGAGAATCATCCCTGGGTCAGAACCAGTGGTTCAGGGAAAAGATGATTCTCCTGGACGGCTGGTGGGAATATGAATTGGAACAGCTACTTTAGAGAACAATTTGTTGATATCTACTAAAATTTAAAATATGCACACCCCATAATTCAGCAGTTTTACTTCTTGGTGTCTCTACCTAGATAACACAGGCAGGTAGGCACAAAGAGGCTGCTTGCAGCATTGTTTATAATGATGAAAACCTGGGAATAGTCTGGAGGTCCATCAGCAGAACAATGGCAAGATAATCTATAGTATTTCAGTTTTGAGGCTAATATTTAAAAAGAATAAGGTAAAGGTGGAAACAAACTCAGTACTTGGGGGGCAGATGTGGAAGGGAGACTTTATTCGCCCTTTTGAACCCTTTCAAATTTGAACTATGTGATATTATTATCTATGTAATTGAAACTTACAAATAAAGTCAATGGTTATAAAATTCTTCCTAAATTTATTTTAATTTAAAACAGCTGACTTTGGGGTTTTGTGGCTCCCATAGTTCCTTCCTTCCCTTTCTTCTTCCCGTCTCGCCATTAAAAAAATCTCCACGTTCGAGGAGTGTTCCCTGAGGGTCATTGTTAATGACTTTTTCCCACGGAATCATGTTTTCCAAACCACAGAGAATTTAAAACTTAACAAAAGTCCCAGCTTTGGCTCAGTTCTGTATCACAGCAATTCTGCAAAATAGGTGTTAGTCTTTTGTGTTTCTAAGTTCTCAGAACAAGCCTGACCAAGGCTGAAAGTCAAGTTCTCAGTCCCAGAGGCTTTGATCTTGAGGAGTTCCTCGACTTTTCACTTTGGAGCCCATGTGGTTGGTAGCATCCTTGTGTTAAGAACATAATATATCCAAGGAGAAAGAAATCTGGATTCTGGTCCTGACTCTATTACCCATGGTGATTTATCATGTTTATTCTACTCAGTTTCACAGCCTATAAAATGGGCCCATCGTTTTCAATTCCTCAGGATCATTCTAGAGAGAACTTTTTTTTTTCTTTTTTTTTTTTAAGTAGGCTCCACGCCCAATTTGGGGCTCGAACTCACCACCCTGAGATCAGGAGTTGCATGCTGTACTGACTGAACCAGCCAGGTGCCTCCCAATCCTAGGGAGAAATGAAGACCACTTAGTTGAAAGTCCTTGTGTTGTGTATTCAAGAAGGGCCTGCGTCTCCCGGTCCCATCATCACATCACTCTTACTGACACGTACCTGTGCTCACGCTCTAGGTACGTACCCGTGGGCATCATGTTCCTGGTTGGAAGCAAGATTTTGGAAATGAAGGACATCATCGTGCTGGTGACCAGCCTTGGAAAATATATCTTCACATCTATATTGGGCCATTTTATTCATGGAGGAATTGTCCTGCCACTTATTTATTTTGTTTTCACACGAAAAAACCCATTCAGCTTCCTCCTGGGCCTCGTCACACCATTTGCAACAGCGTTTGCCACCTGCTCTAGGTGAGTCGGTTTCAGGCGCCCTCGGCTGCTCTGAGTCATAGTCCTGTGGGACCAGCTGAGTCCAGCTGCACAACCAGCGTTTGGCGTATTTTGATTTATTGAAAACTATAAATTGGTCTTGTCTGGTTTTTTGAATTACCAGCCCACACTTTTATGGAAGTGGGTCTCTGGGATTGCCAGAATGGGGGATTGTCTCATTCCCTTCTCCTTCATGCTGCTTAGAGGTCAGATCATTATTTAACTCAGTTGTGGATCTTCATCCTAATTAGTAAAAGAAGGCAACCACTTACCTCAAAATGCATTGCAGGGAAGTTTCTAGAATGATGCCTGCCCAATTCTCCCTCTGGATATATGGATTAGAAAATAAGACCAAGGCATCACGGTGAGGAATGGGTGCTTAGCTCTCTGGGAGTCCACAGTATTGTGGGATTATCTAATTAATACAAAAGATGCACCTTGTCATTATTGGAAATGCTTCCAAAAAATTGGGCTTTCCAAGTAAAAGAAAACTTTCAAAGGATGGCTGCACATTGCATTCATACATTTGGTTTTTGCCTCTCTGCTGCATGTTTCCTCCCATTCTGAATGGCTATTTCTATGATAAGGTGGTGATGGTAAAAAGAACTAGGGAGGAAAGTTTCTCTGGCTTAGAAACAAATCTGCTTCTCAGCTGTGGCAGCCACCCGCGGGGCTAGCTGGGGAGAGCAGGGCTTGTTCTTCCAGTTATCCAGGAACATAGTCCTCTTCAGGCTCTCACAGCCCTTGCTACTTCTTGGCCTAAAAGGAAAAAAAAGTCATAGTTTGCCTTTGACTTCTGGGGGGAACAATTCAAGAGAGGAGATGCGCATGTAGAATAAATAGTTCTTTGCTGTCTTGAGACCGTTTTGCACCATGAGGTAATGTGGCGTTTCTTGAAATATTTGGAACAGGTGTATCCAGGTAAATAACATAACAGGTAAATCTAGGGAGTCAGATATTGAATACTTTGGGGATTGACATTACCTCACATTGTGACAGAAGCTTTGAAACAATTCCAATTTTTCTCTTTCTTCAAGGGAAGAAAACCAGACAGTGGGATGGTGCAAATTGCTCTGTTCCTGGGTCTGAGCTGCGTAGTCTCTTAGCCAGGCTGGGAAGGACTCTTGTCATGGTTGGCCATTTCTCCCTTTCCAGCTCAGCAACCCTTCCCTCCATGATGAAGTGCATTGAGGAGAACAACGGTGTGGACAAGAGGGTCAGCAGGTTCATCCTCCCCATTGGGGCCACTGTGAACATGGACGGGGCAGCCATCTTCCAGTGTGTGGCCGCGGTGTTCATTGCCCAGCTCAACAACATCGAGCTCAAAGCAGGACAGATTTTCACGATTCTGTAAGTTCATTATTCTTCATCTTCAGGTCTGGGTCAAAACGTCAGAGGTTTTTCGTTATATGTGTGATTTCCTTTGAAACACCCCATGAATACCAACCTCACCATGACTTGGGTGGGGGGGGGTCCCATTTGGAGATGACAGCGTGAGTTCATTACTTGAAGAGAGTGAATCATCTCTGAAGGGCTCAGCCAGCAGCACCTAGGGTTGTGTGGTTTTCAGTTTCTAAGCCACAGCTGCCATATTGCATTTCTCTGTGCTCACACCGTGCTCTGTGTCAATGGCTAGTCTTCTGTGCCGTCCCCTAGAGTGACAGCCACAGCATCCAGTGTCGGCGCGGCCGGCGTGCCAGCTGGAGGGGTCCTCACCATCGCCATTATCCTGGAGGCCATCGGGCTGCCCACTCATGACCTTTCTCTGATCCTGGCTGTGGACTGGATTGTGTAAGTAGCAAGTCCTAAGGGCACTGAATAAAAGCAAGTCTGTGTCGACTTCCTTAGGAGTTTGGCACCCTGCTGGGTCTGGGGTATGCGGAGAAACTTCAAACATGCCTTGTGAAGGAGCCTACAATTGAGTTGGCAAGACAGAATTTTTTTTTTTTGAGATTTTATTTATTTATTTGTCAGAGAGAGAGCATGAGCACAAGCAGGCGGAGTGGCGGGCAGAGGGAGAAGCAGGCTCCCCACTGAGCAAGGAGCCCGATGCAGGACTCGATCCCAGGAACCCTGGGATCATGACCTGAGCCAAAGGCAGACGCTTAACCGACTGAGCCACCCAGGTGTCCCAAGCAAGACAAAATTTAGAGCTAGGAAAAATTAAACAGGGTAAGAGTCAAAGGCCATGAATGACCATGAAATGTCATTACTGAGAACTTGGTTTGAGCATCCAGGAAAATGGGGGTCCAAGACCCAGGCTGGGCCCCCAGGGTAGGCACAGGCAGGACAAGGGTCTAATGGAGGTTGTTGGCTGCATAGGGGTCATAGCCATTGGAGCAGTGAGCCTTTGGGGATGATTGTCCTTGGCCTGGAACATGCAAGGAGTGATTTCGGCGAGGGAAGTGAAGATGAACCCAGCTGATGTGAGTGGATTGGGGAAGAGGAGTTAGGTAGGAGGTGTGATTCAGGCCACCATCACCAGGGCTCCTATAAGGGCATAGGACGGTGAGTGTTGATTCTGAGTGTGGATTCCTTGAGTTGTGTGATACCTTCTTTAGATGTAAACAGTACTTGTTATATAGGGAAGGTCACCTGAGGTGCTAATGTTGGACAGTAGAGCATATGGATAAGAAAGTGAAGCCCTGGAGCCCAGGTACGTGGGTTCAAATCCCAGCTTTACTAGTTGTGTGATAGGAACTGTTCTGTGCTTTGATCCGCTCACCTGTCACATGGGAATAATAATAGAAGCTACACCAGAGCTGTGTTGGAGATGAACTAAGTTAGCATATCCACAGTGCATAGAAGAGTTCCAGGCTTGTGGTAAAGCATTCAGTAAACATTAGTGAAGAAAGACACTGCCGGCCAGGCTAGCCAGAGCCAGGCACGGCATCACCTAAACGCTGGAGTCTGGCACTGGGCTCGTGGCTCTGCCCATTGTGGTTGGGAATGGTGGTTTCCAACTTCTTGTGTAAGCCCTGGAAATTTGAAAGGAATTCTCAGAATCCTTACAGTTCCTCAGAACAAGGAGGGTGAAATGTGCAGCAGAGAGCCACATTGTCCACACAGCTCATCAGAGGGAACTCAGTCCCTGAGCTGGTGAGTTGGACAGGACCAGAGCGGAGTGTCAGAGGCCCCGTCTGCTTCCTCAGCCAGCTGCCTCTGCATGAGGAAGGCAGGCCCTTAAGAGGCAGTTAGTCAGGAACAGGGCAGCAGGCAGACTGCCCAGGAGAGACCTGAAGTCACATGAGCCGTCCACCACCCCGCGGCCTCTGCTTGCACAGCCCTCAGCTTCTCCGGTGCACGCAGGCGAGTTCACTCCTTGCCCCAAAACGGGCACTGTACTTGCTCTGAGCCCCAGGAGAGATGGGGTGGTGATTGGACTAATCTGTGGGAAGACAAGCTCCTGGAAAGGACAGTGCTATGAGACAGTGTTTGCCAACTGCCATGGAGTACGTGCGAAGTTGAACATTGAGCAGACACACGGTGTTGGGGCGAGAAAAAGAAGGGGCGTTCCCCCAGTGTACTGCTGAGCAGGAGAGAAGCTGGGTCCGAAACCCTGTCTACACTCTGCATCCCAGCTACGCGGGACTCTCATACGATGGTGTCTACTCCACATAAAATACATACATAGAAAGATGTTACTAGATTCGCTGGGAGTCGTGAAGTGTGGGTGGGTGACTTTTGTTTTCTTCTTTATGCTTCTCTTCTTTCCAGGTTTTCCACAGTCAGGGTCTATTGCTTTCCTGAGAATAAGAAATCCCGAAAGAAGCTCCGTTTAGAGCACAGTGAGGCCTGGCCCCGGGTAGCACGAGGAGGGCGCGCGCAGGCCGCTGTGGCCGCCCGGCCCGGCGGCACCCGCGGCCACGCCTGCCTTTTCTCCCCCCGCAGGGACCGCACCACCACGGTGGTCAACGTGGAAGGGGACGCGCTGGGTGCGGGCATCCTCCACCACCTCAACCAGAAGACCATGAAGAAAGGGGAGCAGGAGCTGAGCGAAGTGAAGGTGGAGGCCGTCCCCAACTGCAAATCGGAGGAGGAGACGTCGCCCCTGGTGACGCACCAGAACCCCGCTGGCCCCGCAGTCAGCGCCCCCGAACTGGAATCCAAGGAGTCGGTTCTGTGAGGGGGCTGGCTCCGGGCTGGCCCCCCCGGGCGGTAGCGCCCCGCCGTGGGAGGGCGGCTAGCCGGCGTGGGCACCGTGCTCACCGACTCTTAGCCCTAAGCGATGCTTTGGCCCAGTCACCGGTTCGAGGATTGCATCTCCGTGCAGGCATTGGGCTTCCCAGCAGGAACTGGTTCCCGGAGACCAGGACGCTCTGCCATATGGCTTGATCCATGCCCAGGTGCAACTGCGTGTGCTTCGGAAGCCCGTCCTGGAGCTGCAGGCTGGGGGCGGTGTGGGCTCCCAGGGACCGGGTGGGTTAGCGCTTGGAACAACGCACATGTGCCCTTCACTGCGCGCGGGGGCTTTCTGGGCAGACATAGGGGGCTTACAGTCCTCTGTCACGCTGCCTCGTGAGCCAGAGTAATTGGAAAAATTCCCAAATTCTTACCCTTGGCTGGAATTCACTGAGCTGCGACCCGAGGTGTTGAGATTTCGAACTTGGAGGTGTGGCTGGTTCTGATTCACCAGTTGCTGGTAGGCTTGGAGGCGCTGCACGTGGTCCAGTTAGAAATACTCCAGATGGCCTTAGCACTGTGGGGGTCTCTGGTCAATGGCATGAAATAAACAGTTTAAATGCTGAGGTCAGAGAAAGGGGGGAGGGGTGTAGCCGGCAAGGGTAAGGGAAGCACCCTGTCAGGACAGACACACACGCAGAGGTACACACAGTCGTCCTCAGTCTCGTCCCAGCCCCACGGAAGTTTTCTGCTTCCAGGACCTGGCCTCTGACAACACTGTAGCTTTATCCCCATCCACTCTGATCTGATCTGGCAACAGGCCCGAGAGGGGCCTCTTCCTCCATGATCATCACTTTCAGGACCTGCTGGTTTATCAATCCATTCTTAGAATTCACCTAGCCCCCTAAAATGCTGCACTGTGCAAAACAAAAACAAAAATGAAAACACATAAAGCCACTCACTAATTGGGGTGGGGTGGGCTGCCCCCATTCCCAAGTCCCCAGGTCCCCTGGCTTTGGCTGATTGCTGTGGGCTCGGTTTCTTTTCCTGCCAGTAGATCAAGAGTTTAAAACTGTAAGCCAAATGTCCCCGTTCCTGCAGATACCTGCTGACTTGGTCTGAATCTAGGTGAGGGGGCATTTTCAAGAAGACCGGTGTTGCCAGGACAGGAAGACCAAAAGGCACAAGAATGCTCTTTCACTGTGGCTGTTACTGTCTCCATGGTGTGACCTGCAGCGAGTCCTGGGCCTCACTTTACCCCATTTGTAGAATGGGCTGTTGTCACCTGCCTCTTACCTACCTCAGAGGGATTTGGTGAGGCAAACTGAGTGAATCCATGAAAACACCCCTTTCACTTCTTGGATATCAAGTGCTAACACCCCTTTGCTATTCTTATGTTTTACCCAAATGATACCTTTCTTCACGGAGGCCTCATGCTCCCGGTAAAGACAGCTTCTCTGAGCAGAACTTGGTTCTCTGGGTGCGTTACCAACTCGGTCTTGCCACTTGTTCTCTTTGTAGGTGTTTGCTAGCTTCAAGTGCGACCTCTTCCTGATGTTGGTCAGGTGTTCCTGAATGACCACCCCATCTTGCAGCACATTCCGGGTCCCTGGCTTCCCTGTGACTCCCAGACCCCAGGCACCGGCTCAGCCACCCCACAATGGGCCATTAACAGCTCCTGGTGTTTGGCCTCGTGTGTTTTCTCGTTTTCCCTGTTGCTGTGGCATGGCTGTCCCCCATACCCTGCAGAGGGGGAAGACGCCCTGGAGATGTGTGTCCGTGCTGTTGAGAATGGGCAGGCGGGGACAGAGGCAGTCAAGCTCCTCCGTTTTAAAATTGGGGGTGTGTGCCTGAGTGGAAGGAGTGGGGAAGAGCCATGGGCACAGAGCTGGCCCGGCCAGTGGGAAGGCCCCTCTTTAAACCAGCCAAGCCGCTCCCATCCCCTGTGAGGCCAAGAGGGACCAGGAACTGAGCTGAGAGCTGCCTGGAAACCTTGACCCTCTGGCTCCTCGCTGATCCCCTTCTATTTTGAAAGGGGAAACAATCACATTGTTTGATCCCAAATTGCAAATGAACATTCACTACTTTTCCGCCTTCGCCTTTGGTAGATCTTATCCTTCCTTCTTCCACACACACATATATAGATATGGTTCTATATGCACACAAATGCGTGTATGCATGTGTGTATCCACATTGTTTTAGCTCCAATCCAAGCAAGTTTGAATTTGGATAGAGGTGAACTAACCACAGTTTGTGGCTTCTGCAAATTGATTTTCCTGTGTCTAAAAGTAAAGTCCACGAAACGTAAAAATTAGAGCTGCCCATCCAGTGAGCGTGCCTCCTCTGTCCTGAAGCCGGCAAGGCGGTAGGCAGAGTGCCGGGGCCTGGGGCAGGTGCTTCTGTAAGGAATCCGCCACGATGGCTCCCCTTGCCCTGGGAGGAAGAAGGTGCCCTGTGCCTCCCTGGTTTTCAGTCTGTAGGAGCAATCAGACCAGGAGGGACCCGGCTGGGGAATATCCCACTTTCTCACTGTCTGAAGCTGTCTTCCCCGCTCTTCTAACGTGTTGTCATAAATACTGTTCCAATACTGTTCATCTCTTTTTTGTGTGCGTGACATTTGCCTTAAAACATAGCAGTCCTCAAAATGAATACAATATTTCTACTAGGATCTGCACGTTCCTTTATTCCATTCCTGTGTTGTGAAGTAGCAGTTATCGATGGAGCCCTTCTAGGGGATCACCTGGGGGTGACTGAATGGATTTTGTTCTCGCCGCTTTTAGCCAGCCTGACCCCCTGAAGCGGGGTAGACCCGCTCGGGTGGGCCAAGCTGCCGCAGGGCAGTCACTGATGGGGCTCACGGAAGGTGAGTGTCCAGCTGCTTCTGGATGCCTACTAGTCAGCACTGGCAGGGCTCATGAAAAAGTGGTGGTTTTGCTACATACCTTCCTAAAATTAAGTCTTGTTAGAACTAGGTCAGCAGGCCTTAACTGAGCATCTGTGAACCAAGAGTGATGCTGGAAGAATGCCCTAGTCCATAGAATTACTGAGAAAGTCCCTGCGTGGGGCACTTGCCCAGGCCTCCACCATCATCCACACCACACCCAGCCCATTCTTTTATATAATCTCATTTTCAGTGACACCACATTCCAGCACAATTAGGGAATTTAGAAGCCTCTTATAAAAGATTATCCGACAAGCTCACACTGGAAGCCTTAGTTTCCAGGCTCTGGGGCCTCTGAAGAAACAGGTCCCATTCTGACCTGGACATTTCCAGCTCTTCATATCATACAGACACCGGTTTTAATTTCTGGACAAGCCCCAAAGGGCTGTTTACACAGACCAAGGGCCTGATGGGGCCTGTTACTAATGACCAGATTCCCACCTTGGAGGACAGCGGTCTTGCTTCTCGGTTTTGAAGAGTGTTTGAAGGTTGAGGCTGGTACTCAGTGCTTCAGCTTTTTAATATAGCCAAATCAAGAGCAATCCCATAAGCTGCCTCTTCCCAGGGGAGCGGAAAGTGTGCTGTTCTGTGGGGTCACCTGAGCCTGCTAGGAGGCACTTCCCACAGCATCCATGGAGGACATGAGTGACATAGCAAGGAGTGTGCACTGTCTGGGCTCCCTCCGAGCTCTGTTGCTTGCTTTTTCTGAGACCGCAGGCGCAACAACCCCGAGCCTCAGCCTCCTTACCTTTTCTTTTTTTCAATAAGGTTTTATTTGACAAAGAGAGAGCACAAGCAGGGGGAGCAGCAGGCAGAGGGAGAGGGAGAAGCAGACCCCCTGCTGAGCAAGGAGGAAACAGGGCCTGAGCTGAAGACAGACACTTAGCCGACTGAGCCACCCAGGCACCCCAGCCTCCTTATCTTTAAAATGGGGACAATAATCTTACGAGGGGCATAGGCTATTGTGAAGAGTAGAGGAGTTAATTTACACAAAGTGCTCACATGGCATGTGCTGTGGTAGTGTTGGCGCTCAGATGAGACACAAAATGGCAGGAAAGGTTCCCAACCGGCCTGTGTCCCTTTATGTGCGGGCCCAGCAAGTGGCATGCTCACGTTCGATCCCTTGCTGTCTTGAGGAGATAGGATGATCTCTTTCAGCTGGTGAGTCTGTGGCTGTAGAGTAGAGGAGCCCGGCTGGGGAATATCCCACTTTCTCACTGTCTGAAGCTGTCATTTCGAACATGTGTTCTAAAAATATTTGGATAACTGCTTAGAAAGAACCAGCCCTGTAAACAATTGTCAGGATGCACTCGAATGTCTCTTATTCACAGAAGAAGTGCTCTACTCGTTCTTTCTCTCTTTAGCTATATCCTTTCAAGTTGCCACTCAGGATGCCGGCAACACCCTGTCGTCCAGACGGAAATTTGCTTTCCTGGTCGAGCTCCATGCCTCCTCAACACACTCGGGGAAGGTGCAGGCAGGCTTAGGTGTGGGGGTTCTGGCCTACCTCCCAATCTCGGGGCCTTTGACCTGCAGTGCCCTTTAGTTGGGGTTGCCAGTAAGTGAGTACATAGCAAGAGGGAGAATCTTAAGTCATTTGAAAGAAAACTTCCCCCTCTCAAAGAAAGACAGCCATGAGTCCTCACTGGCTTTTCATCGTTTCAGAGAATGGCACTGAGTATCCTAAAATTTCTCAAATCAGAGTCTCAAACCTGAATTGTGTGTCTTAGAAACAATATATAAAAGAGCATTGGGCTGAGTTTTTTAGCAGATGTAGGATTATTTAGAGGAAGACACAAGACTTAGATGAGAGCCTTGGGATCCCTCGGGTGGTCTGTAACAGGTGAACTTGCCCCAGGTTCTAGGACACAACTGTCCCCAAGCTCTGCCTTTAGGGGAAAAGGAAAACCATGCATAAAGCTCAGAAGGTTTCCTTCTTTGAAAAAATAGTTTCAGGGTGTCCTGAGCTCAGTAAAGATGCAGTGTCTCTTCACTTTTTAAAAAATATAATAGTTTTATTAAAATAACCACATACCATAAAATTCACCCTTTTAAAGTATACAATTCAGTGTTTTTTAGTATATTCACAGAGTTGCACAACCATCACCACATTCTAATTCCAAAACATTTCCATTACCCCAAAAAGAAACCTAGGACCTCTGGCATCCACTAATTTGCTTTCTGTCTCTATGGATTTGCCTACTCTAGACATTTTGTATTTATAGGTAGAGATGTTTCCTTTCATAGATACATCCCAGATAAAGAAAATTGAGGTTCAAAATGTAATCACTGCCCACATTCCCACTACACTCCATTCTTCCCACACATACCCAAAGGAGATCCTATAATATCTTTTTTTTTTTTTTGAAAGATTTTATTTATTTGACAGAGACATAGCAAGAGGGAACACAAGCGGGGGAGTGGGAGAGGGAGAAGCAGGCTTCCTGCCAAGCAGGGAGCCCGATGCAGGGCTCGATCCTAGGACCCTGGGATCATGACCTGAGCCGAAGGCAGATGCTTAACAACTGAGCCACCCAGGCGCCCCCATAAGATCTTCTTAATCATTAAATAAGACTCACTCATTTTAGCATGTTGGGCCAAAAAAAAAAAAAAAAAGGAAGAAAAATAAAAAAGATTTCTGGTTGATGGGAACACCTAATTACTTTGAAGCACCTCTCCCCAAACATGTATACCTGATGAAGGCCTAAGCATCTAGACCACTGGCTAAATGAAAATGGGGTCTGGATTCAGGCAACCGATTCTACTAACATTCTGCTAACTGCACAGTGTGGTTCCATTGTATTCCATGTAAATGATGCTCCCTGGAGTTGGGCAGTGCTTCACAATTCTGCATGACAGCCCCGAATCTGGAAGTGAGTTGCAGTTAAAAGATTGGACTCACACTCAAAGCATGTTGAATGCCCTGTTAAAAAAAAAAAAAAAAAATTCTAGGGGCACCTGGGTGGCTCAATCGGCTAAGGATCTGACTCTTGGTTTTGGCTCGGGTGGTGATCTCAGGGTCGTGGATTCAAGCCCTGCATCGGGCTCTGCGCTCCGCATAGAGTCTGCTTGTTACCTTTCCCCCTGTGCCCTCCCATTCAGGCTCTCTCTCTCAAATAAATAAATGAATCTCTTAAAAAATTATTTTTAATAAGTGGAGACTAATGAATCTCAGAGGCAATAGGGTTGAGGTCAAGAGGGACCTGCTTCATCAACTTTACCAGTCAGGCTGGTTTTCCCAATTGCTAGCATGCCTGTCACAAGGCATCTGGGTCTGTTGCTAAGCATTTTGTAGCATCAACGTACCTTTTGTCTCTCTAGTCTGCAGAGCACCCTGGGCAGGCTGGCTGGATTATTCATAGCCCCCCGCTCCCCACTTACCTCCAGCCAAACCCCTCTAAGAGAACCGATCTCATGACAAAAGGGTGGCCCCAGGAGCTCCTGAGTGGTGATGCATTACATTCAGTCCTTCCAGAAACACAAGAGCAATAATGGCCGGTACTGAAAAAGGACAGACACCAAGGAGTGAAACGGTGTATATGGTATTATTACATTTATACCAACAAAACTGATGTATAGAGTTAGAAGTCAGTTTAGTAGCCTTCTGCAGGCGGAGAGAGGGGTTGGTGATTGGAAGAGGGGTAAGAGGGGCCTCTAGAAGTGCTGGCAATATCCTATGTCTTGACTGGATGGGCGTCTGCTTTGCCATAACTCACTTAGTTGTACACATAGGTTTCATGCACGTTTCTATACGTGAGTCATACTTCATTAGGAAAACAAATGGGGGTGGGGGGTAGGACCTGGTAGGAGACCTAACTCTGCAGTGGCCACCAGTCGCTTTGGATGATTATTGTCTTTTCTTAGGTGTCCTACATCCCATCGGAAATTCTCTCAGCCAACTGCATCTTGGCCATCTAGAGCAAAGGTCAGCTAACCGTGACCCACAGGTTAAATCCAGCCCACTGCTTGTTTTTGTTCAGCCCTCAGACACTGCTCCAGCAGACCAGCACTGTGCACCATGGAGACCATGCTTGGGTGGCTCCCTCCACCAGTGTCTAGATCCCATCCACACCAAGCAGGCCTGATCTGTGTAAGACAGGTGGTCTTGGAATAGGAAGCTGGCCCCTACTCAAAAATATGACTTATTAGAAAAACCTATGTGATTACTTCATCTTCAAGTCCTCAGACACCTGCTGAGAGAGGAGAAAAAGCCACGTTCATCACAAGGATAAATGTGGCAAAGTAGCAAGCCCTACCCAGTGGTTCTCAAACTTGAGGGCTTATTAGAATCACCTGAGCTTTAAAAAAAAAGCCTCAGCTCCACCCTGGGATTCTGATTCATTTGGTCTAGGTTTGGACTTGGACCTGATCATTTACTCTTTTTTTTTTTTTAAGTCCCAGATGATCCTAATGTGCAGCCAAGCCTGCAAACCACTGGGTTAGTGCAACATGGTGATTCGTAAGAAATATGTATTTGATCTTTGTCCACAGTTCCTGGCTCACAATTCCCCACAACCTTGGAATTTCCTGAGCGGTAAGGGCAATGGGGGCATCTTTTACCATAATATTTGGTCTCTTGTCCTCAGTTCCTGAAATAACTTCAGAGCCATAGAGGTAAAACGGGCATCTTGTTATTCATAATAAGCCCTTTTCCACCACAACTGAGTTCATGTTGACGAGGTGACTTTTGGAAAGTGCCCAAGGATGGGGGCTGGTTGCCAGGTGAA